AATCGACCACACGGCCATTGGTGAGTCGTATGACATCTCAGTAAAATGACATCGCGCTGACTAGCATAGCTCCGTACATCACTAACATGAAGAAGGCCTTGGCCGAGACACCTGCACAGGAGGAGTACGAAGTACAACTGCCTGCATCCGTAAGCTTGGACCATACGGTTCGCATACCCCCAGAGATGATGCCCGATGATGATCGGGCTATGCATTACTTTGACTACTTCTTCACCAACATCCACCCATATTGTCCCGTCATCAACAAGGCCTATTTCTTCCAGCAATGGCATAGCGCACCTGATTCCATTTCTCCACTTATGCTAGAGTCCATCTTCGCTTGCGCCACCTTGATGCTGGGCGATACAGAGGAGGGTAACAAATGGCTAGCCCTTGCCACGAGTCAGTAGTGTCAATGGTTGATAAAGCATTCTTGCTAACAACATGTAGAGCATGAAGAGAGCTTCAAAGACGTATCACGGCTAAGTACGATGCAGGCAATGATATTGTTGCTGAAAGCCCGTGAGGCTTCACCGAAGCGAGGTTACTTCTGGCGTTCATGGATGGCCACTGTCAGCCTGGTAGCCATGGCGAAGGATCTCGAATTACATGAACACTATGACACTCATCAGATGGGGAAATCGTGTGGATCCACGACGCACGACTGTGTTGCTAAGACCAGGGTATGGCAGATGTGCTTGATCTTTGAGGTCATGATCGGAGGTCCTCAAGGTAGGTCGTCTACAAAGCAGTAAGCTTCGAAATGCTAATCTCTTCAGGGCGCTACGACTTTGGTGTTACTACTGACACAGTAGATTTGGAGATGCCAAGGCACATCGCAGGACAAGATCCTTCTGAGCTTCAGGTTGCGCGTCAGTTCGTTCAATACGCCCGCATTGCCAAGAACGTCCACCACTCGGCCCTTATCTACGGCAAACTAAGGAAGAAGAACCCGGACTGGGCACTGGATCCGGCTTTCGTTGGACACAACACCGACTTCTCTCTCTGGCTACGTGAGCTTCCTGAGGACATGCAAATCGTCTACCCCCAGGATGGTTCTGCTCCTTGGATTCCCTCTCATCAGCTGGCGAATATGCACAGCTACCATTGTTTGGCCATCATCATGCACTTTCGTCCGCAGTTGCATGCTGTATCCGAGTCGTATGACGGTATATGGAAGCAGCATATGCTCACTTGCTATTCTGCTGCAAAGAATCTATGTAAGCTCCAGGAGGCGATTTTGAAGACATACGGCATGCCCGGTTTGCTGTGCATGATGCGAGGCATAAGCTTTCACATCTATGCTGTGTTGACTTGCACTATGCTTCACCTGGTACGTCACTTGTGAAGATCGGTAAGATTCCAGACTGACAGCTGTAGGTTGCCGTGACATGTCCTGACCCTGACATCAATCACGATGCTAGAAGCTTTTTCGTACGCCACATGCGCGTCCTGGAAACTGTTTCCCCTTCGTTTCCTATGCCTGAGATGCAGCAGCAAGTGAACAGCCTTCGTCAAGCATTTTCGGCCGACTGTTCGAAACCTTTTGACCTGAAACCATCATTCCCGTTGGGGAGCCCCCAAGTGACTACACAGACAAGTCCTATGGGACATCAGGGATCATACCGACCTCGTCATCCGAGCCATCCCTCGCCCTTGGAACAACCAGGTCAGGCCAACTACCTAGCACACCCCATTACTCCACCAATTTCGGTATCCGACCGCGGATCCAAGGCTGACTCTCCCGTAGCTCAGTCTTTGGTTATGATGGCATCTGGTCACCGTGCGGCCCAGCCAGCTTCCAGCATACAAATGCCGGAGAATGTTCAATGGAACCCCCAACGCATCTTTGAGTAGGTTTAGGTACCATTCATTCGCCAGACGCCAAGCTAATACAACACAGTCAATGGAATGTAGCCTTTGGTACGCCCCCTCCTACTAGCGCCTCCTCTCAGGCGTCTCCGCCGCTAAGACCCAATCCTCCAGGAACCAATTACGATATGCGGCCGGCACAGGAGGGCATGCAACCTGGGTACCAAATATCAAATACGTCACCTCAGTCCAGCCATGTCCATGCAGCAGCAGGTCAGATGCCACCCTCGTCGACCTATGCAAACGCTGCACCTATATATGTCACCCCAACGATGTGGCAGGAAGCGGTTGCCAGTTCCATACCGGACGGGCTGAAGCGCAGGTGGGACGACAACGCTTCCATGGCGGACCAGTCAATGTACAAACGTGCACGTTGAATGATCACGTCAAGCTTTGATCAAAATTACATCGTTTGTGCTATGCACTCCAGAGAAGCTTCAATGGGTGGAAAAGTCTGGACTTGCGAGCCCATGTTTACTCTATCGTCAAGATAAGGCCACGGTGAAGATGGTAGCATGCTGCGCTTCTGCGGCATTGAAATTGCTGTCCAAATCCTGTATTTGGTGGATGAAGATGGATCCGTTTGGAAGACAAAACGGATGGCATTAGAAAACCAGTTCAACTGCACCAGCATTTTGAGATGGAAGCCCACAAAAAGCGCTGCCAACACCAGCGCGCCTGTACAATACTCTAATCTTGCGACGTCCGCAAGTACGACTGCAATGACGATCACGCGCCGCTAGCAATATTTAGCTAGCATAATGCTATCACTGGAACAACAATGGGCGAGCAAACTGGTCCTTCATTATCGCAATGTATACTCGGACCTTCCTCATCCATGAGAGTATGGGGTATCGTACCCACTTCTTGTATGCCATACACGCGATAGCCTCAACAATCACTCAAGCTTACCCAATCGTACTACCATACGTTCAGAGCCCCATTGTTCCAAGACACAGCCCCAGGTGTCAATACTGGCTTCTTCAAGTTACATCATTTGCGCACCAGCTATCCCCACTAAATCTATTCTATCTGCTTTAGTTCCACCGGAGCCGTCCGACACCGTAGATTACCTTATGCTAACACAGAAATTGATCGCACATTAACATACACGCGTCATATGCCTTTCATTCAAGATCACCAGGCATCCGCACGCATCCCAGCCACCCGGCTTTACTAATTCAACGAAGCCAGAACGTTCAAACGGCCCGGTACAACAAAAGCACCAATCGCAATGTCGCACGTGGGGATCACCAACGTTCGTCTCGACCTTCCATCCCTCTACCCGCAGCTCGTACCGTTTGTAAAAAGTAGTCTAGTTATTGTTCCTGATCGTCAACCAAGTCAATGCGATGCGACGCTGACGAGGGAGACAACGCTGATCTCGACACGGTTTGGGTACCCGGACCGCACCATGCGTACGACATTAGTACGCGAATGCAACAGGGACCCTTTTGACTTGGATGTTCAATATCACAGGCAATAAATTTTACGGTCTCTTCAAACCGGGTTTCGCGGCTCCAGGCCAATATCGAGGCACACACCCACCCACCCACCAGCCTGGAAAGATCCCGAGGTAAAAAATGCTCGAGCGTTTTTGTCCCCTGATCTTTTCGACATGTGAAAAAATAAGTCGACGCACGGTCCGCCAGTCATACACCCCTGCAATACTTGGCTCGAACGGACCGCTTTTTGTGATGTGGAGAAGACGCTAGAGATTTATGGGATCTGACATGGGCGATGAAGAAGGGGGGTAAAGCGTGGAAAAAACGTACGCTACTGCATCATGTCACAACGCCCAGTGGGCAATCATGTAACGTGAACCTGCAGTCTATTGCATGTCGCAGTCGTTCAAACCTTCTTTCACACTTTCTCTGCCGCGTGTGCATGCTCTAAACATCACTCTAACGGCACTTTCCAGCAGCCACAACAGCAACGACGATAGCAAACTAACCTAAACTCGGTCAGACAGTCGCCGACCACCAAAATCCCAGTAGAATAACCCCTGGCCCCTGGTTTTGTTATAATGCTTCCCCAAGCGAATTACCCACAGTCCGTTTGTTCCCATCAACACGAACCCACCCAGCAGGAGCTGGTATCCATGTGCTATGACCAACTTCCAACGTCTTTGGCTGACTAGGGCGGTTGTCTCGTCGACCTGTTTGGCGAGTCATGTTTCTCTCATGCGAAGGAAGGGAGCCAAGTGGGCTGTTACGAGTTCGCTCACCGATCTAAACGATTGCGCGCGCTTGACACGTTGTCTGGCACGCATGTAATGCATGATGATCAACGTTCGGAACCAGGGTCAAGAGAATGAAGAGGGCAGGGGGAGCGGGAGAAGAAGCGGGAGAATTGGTTGCAAAGAAGGACCGGTTTGACGAGTACTGTAGTGTTCGTCTCGGTCTCGTCCGATGCTCCTACAGTACGGTGCAGCCTTGTTTTCGTAGGATTTCTATGGCTAATGCGCCAAGTAAATATCGCCATCTTCATCGACTATCAGAAACCCACCATCAAGAAAACTCGCATTTCAATTCTCTCCACTCTCCACTTTCTGTTCACCAGCCAGTCGCCCCAATGTAACTCGGCAAACCAGCCGAGATTTCCTGGCCCACTGATCTTCGCAGACCAGTCTCACCGTTTACAACAACAGAAATGTTCGGCTAAGCTGTTACCCACAGTGTGCTGTGTTCAGGTATCCGCATTTCTGCCGCGCGCCGAAGTTGAAACCACATACCACTTCCACGCGAAGGCACTATGAAACTTACACGGTGTAGTTGGGCGTTGCGATGGACAGTTGTGGGGCTGGATGTGTGGCAAGGAAGCGGGAAAGGGCCGAATCTAAGGTGGACAGTGACATTCTGATGGTGTGTTGGGCGGATACTGGAGTGAGTGTTGTGGCGGAATATTTGGAGAAGAAAGTAGAGCGAGGCTGGTGGCGTGATATTTACGGGCGGACTTTGTAAATCTTCAGGTAAAGAGTGACCGTTTGCCTACGTGAACATTACCCTGGGCAGTCTATATTGGGTGCTGCGTAATGGTAGTTGCGCCGAGATATCCCAGATAGGAAGACCTATAGAGAAGTCATATTATGATTGTGTATTTAGAAACTCCATAACGACAAGACTTCACTAATCATCACGCACTCCTATTCTTGGATGTTTCTGTTCATCCCCATACCCCACCGTTCGCGAGGCGCTCTTATCCTTCGGCAGCACGGCATTCAAAAATATGCCAACGATTGCAGCAATGACAAAGGGTGTCTCGACAGCCAGGTTTATACCCTGTTCGAACCCAACCAGATTCTCATTCGGCCCATCGTATGCCAGGACTTGCGCAAACCAATCAGGCTGACAGATATCCATAAAACCGATTCCTAATGCAACGGCAAGTATGAAGCGATCGCGGCGGGTCCAAGAGATGAGCGCGAGAACACGAATGCCAGCTACAGCGATGGTGCTGTAAAGGAAGACTTGCATACCGCCCAGCACAGACGGCGGCATAGAAGCGAAGACAGCACCGAACTTCGCGATGACTCCCATGAGTATCAGGAAGCCACTTGCTGCCCACCCTGCACGACGAGATGCACATCCAGTAAGAACGATGACGCCGTTGTTACCAGCTTGGCTGACCATTGGCGGCCCCGTACCCAGCGCACTGAAGAAGCTGCCTAGACCATCGCACAGAATACCGCCTTGAATCCTGCTGTTGAATTCTGTGCCTTCGATGCCAACACCAGATAGCTCTGCAGTGGCCAAGATATCGGGAATGCAAGACACAGCCTGACACGCGAACATGATGATCATAGGTAGCACCAGCGCACCATCGACGGAGAGTTTGAACGTGTGTACCCAGAGGAAAGTGCCACCAGGCGCTTGGGTGAGTTGTTCTGTTGACCAGTACCCTGTTGCGCCTGATATAGCACAGCCTACAGCTAACCCAATGATCACGGAAGCTGAACGCATGAGTGGCGCACCGATGGCTTCAACTAGAATGATAGTAGCGAAAACGCTAAAACCCAGGCCGATCAACTTTGGATGTCCCCAGACGAGCGGCTGTGGTGCGGTGATATCTGGACATAGAGCATAGAAGCCCTCTCCGCCATGGCAGTTTGACGAGCCACCCCAGTTCTGCAGTCCGTTACCGACAAGATAGACTCCAATGAGAGTGAGGAGGGATCCAGTGATGAGCTTAGGGAAGACTTTGTTGAGCATCTTGGGCGGCACAAATGCCAGAGCTATCTGGATCCAGACGCAACATAGCATAGTGCCTAGACATGCACCCCAGGCATCGGGGCAAGGCCCTTGAGTTCCGTCGTCAAGAACAGGACAAGTTCCGGATTTGTATCGTAGAGCGGCGTAGTTGAAGACAATAGGTAAGATATCGAAAGTTGGCCCTACAACACTAAGGAGTCCTGTGCCGATAAAGAATGGTGTCTTCATGATGTGTAGGCGGGTGACTTGAAGCGCCGTCGCGATGCCAGTGGTTATAAAGGCGGTAGACACCAGGTATGTTGTCATCGCCGGATCGAAGTTGAACGCTCCTGAAGCGATGGCGAGCGGCGGAGAGACGATGGATCCGATCATGGTGAGGGCATGTTGAAGGCCGAGGAGCAGGGTCAAGAGAACAGGAACGCGGTCATTCAGTCCGTAAAATGGTGCCAGGTAGTCTTTGTACTTTCTATTGAGTGGCCAAATGTTTGGGGTGATGAGGTAAATATAATCCTTAAAGCTGTCAGTTGCTGAATGTTAGGCTCAGGGTACAAAATCGGCATACATAGTCGCCAATCCACCCATCCTTCGTTGTAAAAGCATACTTAATTTCTGCGAGTGTATCTTGCCACTTCTCAGTCACTGCGCCCATATCTTCGCTCGCTGCTGAGGAGTATGGACCCGTTTCTTCTGCGTATTTGGACTTCGGCCCCATCTCGCCATTAGATTCGAGGGCCATGGCCACTGCTGATTGACCCGGTCTGACACTCAGTGTGGTGATCCACTGCCAGTAGTAAATTGATATCATTATGGAGCTGCATGGCTATATAGCAACCTCTAGGCCGTCGTTGACTCGTCGTTCTAGATCTGCAAAGAGCCTTTACCACGATAGGCGTTCCTGCGCTCGAGAACCCCGCGATAACCAGCCCATCGGAGCCCGGCTGTTCTTCAGACTTTGATAACACTGCGACGATATTGTCCGTATGCACTGAGGTGTGCACTGTGTGACAGGAGAGGCAAGCTAGATAAGGGTGAAGATATCACTAGCGTCGGCCGTCCCATGTCACTCTAGCGAAGGTGCGAAAGCGGAGACCGGCGGAGGTGGTCCCATCACTCCAGTCATGAAGCACGTCTTAGGAGGACGCGGCTGTCTGAGCGTTAACGGTAGTCACAGTGTGAAGTAATTAGCAGAGTTGCCCTCTATGAGATCCATCGACAAGATTGAGCTAGCGTAAGGGCCTTGGAGTAGCTTGAACTAATACGTCTGGCTACGAATCCCAATCACAGCAGTTTCTCTCCTGTATATCTTCATCGAACATAGGTCAGCCGAGATGATCATGACAGCTGCAGACAGGTTACCCTCGCGTCTCTTTACTCATGCGACGATAATCACGGTCAACAAGAGCCGGGAGGTCATTCTGGATGGTGCAATCCTCATCGAACATGGCCGGATCGCGGCAGTTGGAAAGACAGTTGACCTCGTCGACGAGCTCAACTCTAACGAAGACCGAGACATCGAGATTATCGAGTGCAAGGACAGGATCGTCATACCAGGCCTCGTTAACACCCACGCACACCTCGCGCAATCACTGCTACGTGGGCTCGCCGAAGATCTACCATTACACAACTGGCTATGTGATGCGATCTGGCCCTTGGAAGCGAATTACGCCGAGGATGATGGTTATGTGGCTTCGATGCTGACTATTGCCGAAATGTTGAAGACGGGAACAACGTGTTTCCTGGAGGCTATGCTTACACATAGAAGCGGACTCGAGAACGTCGTCAGAGCAGTGGAGGAAAGTGGTATTCGCGCGTGTCTGGCAAGTTTCCCAGTACAATATATATATGATGTAAAGCTAACATAGATGTCAGGGTAAACTGATCAAGGCCGCTGAGTCGAACCCGAAGCTTAACATGAAAGATGCCAGAGATCGGGATGTGGACTCTATGTCAGTCGCTGCTGCTTCATCGGCATACGAAAAGTATCATGGCTCTTTGAACGACCGTTTGCACATGTGGTTTGCGGCCGGTAAGTGATTTCTTTCTTTGAAGAGCATATGAAACAAACACTGACTTCATACACTGATCTTCAGGTACACCTCGAGGCTCACCGATAGCGGCTCATACTGCAATAGGCGAAGCCGCACGAGCACACGGTATTGGCCTCACTATGCACTGTGCCGAAGCGCCTAAAGATCTTACCATCTATCGAGACTATTACCAATGCAGTCCCTTTGAGTTCTGCCGAGATGCGCAACTGACGGGCTCGAAGACGGTTTTTGCCCACTGTGTTCATCCAGACCCAGTAGCTGGAGACTTCGAAATCTTGTCTGAAAGTAAGAGCACAGTTTCGCATAATCCGACAAGCAATCTCAAGCTTGGATCTGGTGTGGCGCCGATACCTGATATGGTGGCGAAAGGTGTGAATGTAGCGTTAGGGACCGACGGGGCACCATGCAACAACACGTACGATATGTTCCGCGAGATGCATTTAGCATCCATTCTACATGGTGGTGTTAGACAAAACGCTGGCGTACTGAGCGCATACGATGTCTTAGAGTTTGCAACGATTAACGGCGCGAGAGCACTAGGGTTGGAAGCTGAGATTGGGAGCCTAGAAGTTGGGAAGAAAGCCGATGTTGTCATTGTGGAGCCGAAAGGCACATCATGTACTCCGTGGGATTCGGCCATGCAAGATGCTGGTGGCATGGACCCAGTCACAGTGCTCGTCAATTCGTCGGGCGCAAACGTCGACACAGTCATCGTAGATGGTCAGTTACTTGTCAGTAGTGGCAAGCTGTTGCATATTGATGAGGGCAAGATCATACAGAGAGCAAAGACGTCAGTGGCAGACATCCGTAGAAGGAGCGGTGTGGGTGCACGGAATCATATGTCGTTAAGGTATACATAGTCTTAGAACTGGAATGAAAGCAGATCATCGAACAGGCTTTGTCCCCCAAATCCAGTTTGTAGTGGTAACAAATTCATGAAGGAATCCCATGAAGTATCTCCTACATTTGCAGGGCCATCTGCGGTCGAAGAAGTGGGGATTGTTACTTGCAAGTCTCTAGATACGTTATTGATAAAGCTTTCCACGTTGAATGTACGTGCTCTCTTGCTAGACGAGGGAGCCAGTTCGCCGAATTCTGTAGGCTGTTGGCGCTTCCTGGGGTTGACGCTTCTTCCATTCTGGAGTTCACGCTGCAAGCCAGATAGCAACTGCACACCACGTGAAGCTATCTTGCTGTCTTCAAATGTCCTCAAGTAGCTGATTGCGTCTTCGACAAGTTTTTTGTGTTCTTCAAACTCCCTTTCACTGGCCGACCGGTGAAATGCATCGAGGCTGAGGATGATCCCCGCTGCGACGGAGAAAGCTTGTTCAATCCACAGCGTCGGCCCCTGGTCGTTGCCAGATAATGCTTCTTTCAATATGGTTTTGGATGCTGCTATGCAGGTACGGCGGGTAAACGAGAACGCGGAGTTCGAGAATGAGAGCCCAATGAACTTCCGATGTATCTAAAAGATCCGCGTGTGAAATCAGCGTACGTGTCGCATACAGTTCGTACAGGGAATCTCTCACCATGATGATCTTGTGCGAGGCACATATAGCCAATGAGCGTCTGGCCCATCCAACATAAATAGGCCAGCCCGTTGCTACGGGCGCATTGTTTGAGAGAAATGTAGGCATACATGCGGTAGCAAGCTTGCGCATCTTCTCGTCGTACCGCAGCACCTGCTCATACTTTGTGAAAAGCGTGTTGCAGCCTGTCATTGCATCCAGTAGCTGCGGCATAAGTGCCGCAATATCGTAACGATAGTTACAATAGCTCGCCTGGGTTGGAGTAGATAGCGGCAGGGGTACCATATCTTCATCGTTGCAATTGAGAGGCTTCGAGGTCTTGAAGAAGCGAGGGTTCAATGAATATGACTCAGAGAACGGAATCTGGAACCAATCTTGCGTGCAAAGCTGATTGAATACCCGTCGACCGGCCTCACGTTGACGTAGCTGCTCCTTTGAAGTAGCCCTAGCTGCGTTCTCTGGTCCAAGGCGGTGTAGACCGAGGCTTTGGGCGATGCGACCAGCTGATGCAAGCAGTATTGACTGGCTGTTCGACTTGCCTAGAATGTGAGCCGCAATCGTCAGAGTCGCGATAGCTTGGACAGAATATATCGTATGAGTCTCGATATAACCCGCAACTTCGAGGCATGTCACGGTCGCTTCGTACCACCTTTGAGACAAGACCATGCGCTCCTCCGATGAGAATCCCCAAGACCGATAGATAGATGATGGTGCACATGTAATACTTCCAGTCATGATGGCGAACAGCAGACCTAGCCATTGCAGATTCAGGTCCTCATGGCGAACGTTGCCTTCATACTCACCCATAAAAAGGTCCAGGTCACTTTCAAACATCGCTGAAGAATAGGAGCCATGGTACCATAAGATGGAGGTATTGTGGTACTCGACAAGTTGTATGATGTGAGTCTTGTCGGGAAGAAGCGATTCGAGTAAATCAAGCTGTGCATCTCTGCTGGCTTCGCATGGGATATTTGAGGTGGTCGCTTCATCCTCGTGTCTGACACTCAGTCGTCTTGGCCCGCTGTTATGTTCTGGCGAAGTTCCATAATCGGCATCCTTCTTACGGCCCCATGCCAGAAATTCTAGCACAGTAGCTGCATCACCAGTTTCCACAGATTGTGACGTGATGTCATCGTCCGTAGATAGAGTAATCGCTTCATCATTTGCGGGACTTGCTGGGTTATCAGCCAGTTGCGGAGGTGGTAGCGGTGTTTCGCTCGAGGCGATGTTGTATTGCTCCTGTAGTCTAGCTTCAAGCTGACTTACACGGTCGAGTAGTGCACGCACGAGGTCGTCAGACCCTATTGTCGCGCTCTGAGCTTGATACGCAGGTGGTGGCGCTGAAGATGTCACGGTGATATCTTCTCTTGTACAAAAGCTTGCATAACCCCTGTTTAACTTAGCATGAGATGAGTTGGAATGGCAGAGCCGCACTCAGAAGCCAGTTTGCCAGCTCCCAGTGAAGATCCAATATACGCTCTTGCAAGCCCACTTTACAGCCAAAGCTCGGGATTGCCTTGAGAACGGAGGCGCTGACCTTCGGGTACACGTACTGCAAGGTACGTGCTTGTCGCATTTGATCTTCCTTCTATAGCACTCTGTACATGTCAAACGGGGTCGCGGCCCTTTCGAGGCGTTACTATCGTCCATGATGAGGTTGACCGTATCGGCCTGTTAGTTGTTACACTCGAGGGCGCCTTGTTCTCATGAGGACCGGAGTTCCAGAACCACGTGTCTAGCATACAGAGGAGGCACCGGCTGTCAGTTGGTCGTCGGTATGTAGTGCGATAGGGAACAGAAAGGAACAGGGTGCGGCCGAGAATGCGGAACCCACCAATTTAGTTGCCCCACTTCAGTTCAGCCGCGTCCATTCCGTCTTACAAACAGCAGCCGCCTATCTCAGCACTACGACGAAGCCATTAGCGATGACGGCCGATTCGAGCGGCCGCCCTGGCCACGTCGGCTTTAGTACGCCTCAGGGCTTACTGCGACACCATATGCATCTACACAAAAATGGCGGAACATAAGAGCAGGTATGGATTTCCCTCAATATAATACACTCGTTTCGTACATCAGACTCATCATCATCATCATCATCATCAAGCGACCCGAATCTTCAACATCTCATCATGGCACCAACGAAATACATTGATCGGCCTGTGCCGACCATCTCCCTCCGCGACTTCGACTCTCGGATGGACGTGATTACACAGGAACTTCTCGATGCTGCAGAGAACCATGGGTTCTTCTGTATCGTAGACCACGGCATAACACGCGATGCTGTTGATGGGATCTTTGACCAGTCAGCACGTTTCTTCAACCAACCTGATCCCGTAAAGTCTCAGGTGCCTTTCTCCCCTCAGCACAATGCTGGATGGGAGAAGAACGCGCAAATCAGGCCATCGACTGGTGCAGTCGACCGCAAAGAATCTTATCAGATGCAATTCGGCGAAGGCATGAACGGTGAGCCGGTTCTCTCCATCTTTGGTACTTGTGTAACCATACTGATTGATGATCAGGCCGATGGCTAGATGATGAGACTTTGCCTGGCTTCCAGGCGGAGGCCCTGAAATTCATGCACAAAGTACAAGCGGTCAGCGAGAACCTCATGAGGTGCTTTGCGCGAGGATTGGATTTTGAGGACGACTATTTTATCAAAGCACATGATGTCAGAAGGGCAGAGTCCCAGACGGTGTGCCGATTACTACACTATTTCGAAACCCCGCGGTTACCGAATCCCACTGGGGAGGTGCATCACAGAGCAGGTGCGCATGCTGACTGGGACTTTTTGACCTTATTGTTCCAGAAGGCAGGGCAGTCTGGTCTCGAGATATGTCCAGGACGGGAAGTTTCGACATCGTTTGGCTACGGAGACGCTTGGACAAAGGTTGAGCCTGACGCTGAGAAGAACGCGATCGGTATGTTAATTGTATCGACACTTAATACGAGCACTCTAACCACATCATACAGTCTGCAACGTCGGTGACTTGCTCATGTCATGGTCTGACGACCGCTTCAAATCCACATTCCATCGCGTCAAGGCTCCGTGTGAGCCCGACGACTATTATGGCGAGCGCTATAGTATCGCCTTTTTCAACCAACCGTGCAAAGACGCTAAGATCCAAGGTCCGCTAAAGAAGTATCCAGTGATAACAGGAGAGGAGTTTACCAGAAATGCTATGAGTCGAAACTACCAGGCTATACAAGAGAAGTTGAAGAAAGAGAAAGAGCTGGTGGTCAAGGCCGTCGAGGTGGACGCGACGACAGCTCGTACGGTCAGCGCTACCGCATAGGGCTTACTAAGGGCCGAATTGTGTTCAGGTGTTCAATGTCACTTTTTCCGCATGAAGGATGTATAACCGCGTAAGTCGTATCTTGACATCTGCAGTAGTTCGTAGCAGCTTCTTCTGACACGCGTGATGAGCGAAGTGGCATCCATACCACGACAGATGTGAGATTTAGCGAACAACAAATTCTATAAACTGAATTCCGCTTATGGCAATGGAGTCTCGTTATGACCAGCCCTGGCCGTGCTCGCCTAGCTTGAACAGCCCGTTCTTTTTCTTGTCTGCTGCCCACCTATCGCACCAAGCTTTCATCTTCTCTCTGCTCTTTGCACTACCCACATTGACCGTTGGAATGATCTTGTCAATATGCAGAGCGCAGCAAAACATGGTCAACTCTCTGAAGCTGCTATGCTCACTGTACGGCACACCGAAGCAGCTTGCCCGACTTCCACTGCCGGCTTGGGGTGTGAGGTCTTTCATAGCAAAAGTACTCTTCCAGTTATCAGAATGCAGTACGGTCTGTACTTGAGGCGATTCAGTAAAGCGGCCCTTTGGTGGGCGATAGTTCCAACCCGAGGGTCTGAAACCGACAACGCGCGAAAACGTGTCAGCATATTCGCGCAGATAATCGTCTAAAGTCTCCGCTCGTATCTCGAACAGTGGAGTCATGTGTACTTGGGCTGCGCGAGGATCCGTCGTCAGCAGTGCGTCTAGTTCGGGGTCCTCGAGAGCCTTGCAAATGCGTTGTTTGTTGGCAGGCGCAAAAATCTTGCTCCCTAGGGCCTTTGCAATGCCAGTGCATATGCGCTCTTTCCCGATGCTGTATGTGCCCACGACAACGAGGAGTCGGCCTCGTTCCGGACTTTTAGGTTCGCCCGCATTATCTATACTGGCGTCCTTTCGAACGAACTGAACCATGCCTTGACCCGCGCGTTCTCTTTTCATTCTTTCCCATCCATCGGAGTCGTCCGCGCGGCTTTTGCTGAGGCTAACGCACATGTCTGCGCAAGCCTGGATAACTTGCTTCTGAGGTGGGAAAGCATATTTTGGGTTGAGGTAGGTGGTATCGAGGTAGCAGGCGTCAAGCTTCTGTTGCCGGTTCTTTCCACTCACAGCGTCCAAAACGTCTGGTCGCAATAGTGGATGTTCAATGTGTGCTTGACACGCACGGAAGTCTCCACAGTGTAGGACTCGCTGTAGTCTTGGGCTCTTGCCCTTACTCAGCTCTTTCTCGAACAGGAACAAAGAACTACCCGGGCAATGGTTTGCGGAGATCATCGTGACATGAACCCCTTCAGTTCCTGGCACTTCCGTCTTCTTTTCGAAGTCGAGATCAACTACCCATTTGGGATCTACCCGAAGCTGCTGGCGTACCAGGTTGCCAGTGACTTTGCTGCAGTATATCGGCCCGTGTTTCCATGACGAAGTAAGTCCGATGTAGTGGTCGCTGTGGAAATGACTGAGGAAGTACGCGTTCTGACCTTTGACGGCCCCATAGCGAAATGCGTCCACAGCAATGAAGAAACCTGGCATGATTTTGTAGAATGGACAGGTGCGTTGGTATGCGGGCTTGCCGCGGGATTTGTTGTTCTCCGCCGCAGCGGATGCCCATGCAGCGTCTTCAGCATGGCCTGCCATAAGTCTTGAGAAAGCCGAACTTGGCTGAGTGCTGGGCTTCGCAAGTTGAAATGGATTTGCCTGACCCGGTTTGGCTGGCCTATCTGGTCTTTTAAATGCCTTTGCTTTGCTCGTTGTAATCAGCCTGTTCTCTTCTTTGGGCTTTGCTACAGGCAACGGGAGTGGGTTGCCATCTAAGCATGCGTTGACGTGCACAGATACATCCTGTTCTGACAGGCCTGGTAGATCGTTGCCGCATATTGGACATGAGGGTATATCTTTGGCATTTGGCTCTTCCTGTCTGAGTTCGGAGGTACCGCTTTCTGGAAACAGAGGCGGAGCGTCGAATTCGTCAGGATCGCCCTCAAAGCCTGCTGCCTCCATCTCCAGCTTCTGCTGTTCCTTCATCCATCGCCTCTCATCGTATTCTTCGCCTTCGAGCAAATCGTCGTCTTCAAGATCTCCATACTCGTCTAGTGCTTCGTCGCCGTTTTGAGACGTGGATTCGGACTTCAGCGGTGGAAGTTCGCGGGGGATGTGGTCTTCAATACTATCTGCGGGTAACCGACCCTCGGTTGGTTTAGCAATTGGCGAATCGTCATTTTGTCCTCGTATGGCCATACCTGAAGTTGTTGCAGGTACTTCTACATCGTCGTCTTCGGATTCTGAGTCGTCCACGAAGGGTCCAGACTTCTTCCGCGGCTTTGACGCTTGCTTGGGAACATGGGCTGCCAACGCGTTCAGAGTATTGCTTTCTACATCCGTGGGCGGAGGTGGCGAACAGGCCGGTACAAGTGCTACTGCCTCTTCGCTGACTTTTCGCCTCTTGACGCTCCCGCCATTCTCATTGTAGCGCTCCTCATCGTTGTCGGTAGTCATGACGCCATTGCTTTTCTCGTCGCTCCAACCCACGTCGTCCTCGTCGCCGTCGAACACAATGGTTGGATTTGACCCCCGTTCTTGCAAGAATATGCGGCTGTTGATCTCCTCGGCCTTCTTGAAGAAGGCCATGATGTTGCCATTTGGCGTGCCTGCCGGCTTCTGCTTCTTGCCATTGCCGGCGGGCGACTTCTTGGCAAAGTCGGCTGGTGTGAGAGTGGTTTGCACGATGGCCTTCTTCGGTGGAAGGGTTTTCGCGTTTGGCTTTGGCGCGACCTTCTTCGTTGCCGTCTTGGAAGCCATTCCTGCTGCTGAGGACGAGCGGGGTGGCGAGGGGGGCCGGCCGGTGGAGGGGGTCAATCGAGATTCCTCCGCCAAGGACTGGTTTTCTCGAGGGTTTCTGAACATTGGGAAATTAGTTGAGCATGACTGGCGAGGTGTGCGCTGCTCTTGTGCCTGAGAATGTGCACATGAACCAGTGGCGATTGAGCGGCTCAACGCGTGCCAAGACAAACGCGTCAACACGTGCAGATGCGCCATCTCAAGGTGCCGACATGTTCACCACCACTACAACCTCGTACGATTGGCAGCATCCTTGGTACAGAGACATGATTGCTTGCCCTCCGAATCCCATAGCGGCAAATCAGATATCCTTTCCCAATGCACATGTCTGGTCTGTGGGGGCTTGCCGGCGGGTTGGTAGAGCGATTACATCAGCGAACGCGCTTGTGTCCCCAAAGTCATTCAAGGTTGCGACTTTCAATATTCATTCCTGAGCACTCAAATCCCCTCACAGTTATGCAGAACCTTTATAACGTCATATCCAAATATTCTTGCATTACTTCAAATATCGTTTCCCTGCTTTCTGTCGGCGGCCTAGAAACCTTCAGGGGCGTCCCCGTCATGTCTGTTCCCTCCTGCACGAGTCTTCGCCTGCACAGCTGTTGCTATAAACAGAAAGGTAGTATGATGGTACGCTGAACTGTGCAGTATTGGCATGAGGACACGACGTCAAGGGCCAATCGCCGAGAGGCTGACGCGGCCAATGCTGCAGGCTGAACGCCAGTTCACGTGGCTTGAACTACGCTTCACCTTGTCAGACTGTATTGTCTACAACTCACTTGTTGTGGTATGATGCCCTTCTCTTCCCTTCACGCACCCGATCGCTCGGTTGGCGCGGAATCGCATCTCCACAATTTCATGGCCGTGCTGTCCAACTAAGATCAGCGTCAAACATCACCTCGTATTCGAAAACCGAAAGCGGAAACCCAGCCTTGCGACGATCAAAATAGCAACGTCTACAGATACCATATCTTGATTGCTCCAGAGTATCGACTATGCATCTCAGCTGGATGCGATGAAGCCCCGATCAGACGACCTCTTCTTGCTTTTCTTCCGTGTCATGTACTTGACTATTTTCACTGGATACACTTGTTTCACGATCCTGGGCTTCGCGGCTATCGGGGCTGGCATCGGTATGGTAGCAACTGTTGTAGTTGCTGCTGGGTCTGAGGTCGCCTTTGTACTCAATAAGAAAGAGGAGGCGGAGAAGTTGAGAATGGAGCGGTACTTGGCGTGAGAGGATCCCATGGCATGAACCCGGTAGGACCGAGCAGAAAGGACGCCAGCTAGGTGCTTGTTCTTGAAAAAATACGGACTCCGTGAGAAAGAGATGGTGCAACAGATATACCTCCAGCTTCTAAATCGACATAACTAGCGCGGACCGTCATCTCTACCAGCTCCAAAGCAGCTCAGTTGCCATTCCACACAGCAGGTCCCGGAGCAGTATAACTCGTCGCGATCGGATAGTACGACCACCTCAGACCAGGATCGTTGGCGTTATATGCACCCGGAAACGCTACCAAAGGTCCAGGCTTACCACTTCCACCACCAATAACCTCTACCTGTGCGCACGAAAGATACATTTGCGCACCACCGACCGAAGAAGCTTGGTGGAGTGCGATTGACTCTATACGAACAAGATACTTGCCGCTCGGCACGTTCTTTGGAATCTGGAACTCAATTTGCGATTTCTCTGGTCTAGCATCAGTTATGCACGGCGAAAAGGATAACGCGTGCGGATCAACTCACGATATGCGGGCCATGTGCTCTCCCCACTAGTCAACGGACTCCCCACTGCGCTTATACTCGCTGCCTTGAACCATACGTTCCCCGCTGCCTCCCACGTATTGATATCCGCACTATTGGGTACTTTTGCCATGTAGAACTGCACCGGTCCGAAGTGCGAGATGGAAGCTGCGGCAACGAAGCCTAACGTATCGCCGGCAGTCACAGTTGCAGTACCTGTCCCAGGGCGATTCTGGAAGCAGCGCATATCAGGGCTAGTAACGGAGGTAACACCCGAATTAGTTTGATAGTTCTTGGTTTGCCGAATGGACGTCCATTCCGCCGCCTCAGTAACGCCATTGAGAATGAGCTTGGGAAAGCGATCTTGCAGCTGTTAGCTCAACGCCTTCAAAAAAGGCTATGGCCAACTTGCAATGAGCCTGCGCTGTGGTAGCGAGGATGGAAAGAGCTACAAGGAGATGCATTCTGAGCGAGTTGAGATGGGAAGCTGCGTTGCGAACAATCATAGACGACATTGGAGTGATTAGGAGAATATATACAACAAGCCACTCTGGTCATGCATTACTTCTTTAATGTAGGCTAGAGGCGTTTATAGTGTTCTCGGCAAGTGTGGCTGCACAAGTGATGTGCGCTTAAATTGCTATCATGCATACCCAGATTGAGCCAAGCAGACAAGATACGCAAGATGAAAGCACACATGACTATCTTGCGCTACTCGAGTTCACTTGACGGAATTCATTCAAAACTCGTTCTCGTCTCTACACAATGGCAAACAAATATGTCACGAGAAACCAATCTTGGAACCACTTTCTGTATTCAGCTGAGGTTACCTATGTTGGAGTGCTTTTTGGATGCGTAGATTTCCCGAATATTGTGCCTTCTTCGAACAAGAATAACGGCGTGAGCAAGAAAACGGGAACTACGCGCCCATTCGAGATCCAATCACACCCTAATGATAAGTTGCCTCTGAGCAGCCTTTCCATTGCTGAACCAATTTTCCTATTGTTGTTTCGTCCTGAACAGAGTAGTCACTCAAGTTATATCGTATGTGTCTGTGTTGGTAACTAATGGCACATCCAAATATCTTGTCATTATCTCAGCTGGGAGAGACGGCAAAGGGGGAAAGTTGAGTGCGTCGTTCCAACCGAGTTTACACTACTAAACTATGGAGGGTCACAGTCCGTCATAGCGTTTCTTCAGAAGCCCAGGCCCTGCCATGTGTGCTGTCCTTTACTGCGGTAAGGAATCGTTCAGGCCCATGTAGGGTGATCAGGTGAATTCGGCAGTCGCGGATGTAGGGTTACTGTGAGACGTCTTTGATCCGTCTGCAAGATGACCTTCCATAGCTTGCTGTCCGGGTACTTTGAAATTAACGTGGTAATATCAACAAATTTCAAACGCATGCAAAATGTCTCAAATGATACGAGTTGGAGTCTAGAGATACCATATCTCGCGACAGAATGCTCTACCAAACTAAAGTTTACTGATGGTGCATCTCCCGTCAATTCTGGCACGAAAGGCCGCAGTACCCTTCACCTCTACAAGCGCAAAGAGGGATCCTGACTCAACTCGTGCGAAGTACCTGGCTTTAGAGCGCTCTAATCATCCTTCAAACAACTGTGATTTAAGCCTTCCAGTGGATGTAATTTTCACATTTGCTTTCTAGGCCGATTCCAGGACCTGACTCTGCAGTGAGCAAAGTTCCACAATCGTGCTCACACTTCCCACTTCTTGCCGGCTAGCCTGTAGGCGCTCTTTCACAAATTCTTCCGTAGCCACCTCCGCTTCTCGCGCCATCTTTCCCCATATCGCTACATCCTTGGAGCCAGCGGGTAATAGATGGCTTTCGCCAGAGAGCCGGAGAAGCGCTTCCTCCATGTCCTGGTTTGCGGATGCCATCTGATTTTGGAGGTATACAGATTGTTGGAGTAGAGATCGCTCATTATTGGCTATTTTTGCAAGTTGTGGGAGACAGGGCAAGAGCTTGGTAATCGGTCGAACAGGCTTCGTCGTTGTGGCGTTGCTGTCTTCGGAGGGGATGGATTGACCGCCATTCTGGTTCTCAGTCTGTACGTCCAATGGCTGCTGAAGGCTTGCATGAGCTTCAAGTAAGCCAGCACGAGCTTCGATGTACTTGTTGTATGATTCCCGTATCTGCGATTCTGCCGATGCAAGATCGACGGGTGCTACGGCGTTCACTGAGCGCTTGATGGGCGAGGCGTCCTCGAGGAAGACACTGTTTTCCTCCATCTTAGCCAGCTCTCCTTGAACCCAGTCGATGAGTTCATCTCTCGCTCGCTCGAGTGCATGAACTTGCACCTGCAAGCTTGGCTCAACCTGAAGCTCGTCCTGGGCCTTCTTCCTTGCAGCTTGGGCACGCTCCATAGCTGTTCGCGCCTCAAGAACCTCCTGCTTCAGCTTGAAGACCCATGTCTGGTCTTCTTCAGCCTGTGCTAGCTGCTCGAACCTCTCGGCAGGTAAATCTGGTTGCTCACCAATGGCGCTCTTGATGGAAGCCCTAGGGTCAGCTGCAACAGTCAGAGGCTTTGCGGTCAGAAGCTTGTCTAGAGACTCTTGAATGACTTGAAGCTCTGCAAATCGTCTGCGCTGTCGCAATAAAGAGACGTAGCCTCGAGTAACCTCATTGTCGTATTCTGACTCTGGCTGCGTCGGGTTCTCGTCCACATAACGATTGCGTAAATCTTCCAACGATGCCTGGAGTTCACGATGTCTGGCTTGCGCTTGTGATCTAGCCCGAAGAGCCTGCAAATATTCCAGACGAACGTCCTTCAAGCCTGGAGGGTTGGTATTGGCTGCGGAGAGGTTCTGCGGACATTCATGATTCAGATGCTGGTTCTGAGTTGCTGTATTGACAGGCCTCAGGCTTGATGTGAGGTACTTCGAGAGCGTTCGTCGGATCCTCAATGTGTCTTCCCGGCTGTTGATGTATGACGACAGTGCGCGGTCGACTTCGGGTATTGGGCATGTTGTTTGGGCTGGCATGGCGGAAATTGTTCACAGCCCACAAGTGGGGGCGGAATGGATGAAAATAGACTACTCAGAACGTGCGAGGACGACTTGAGAAATGGCTGGTTGCGGCAATGGCGCTGATTGGTGTCACTGTGACTTGCTTTTGGGTGTGCGCTCAGGGCACAGCTGACAACATGTCAACGGGAGACAGCCACAGCAATTCGGGAGCTATGGACCTAAGCCAGAATGGAATTAGACCCTTTTGCTAGCGCAGATCACGAAAACAGATCGAAAACACGTGCTTGTATGCTTGGCAAATGCATAATTTCTAAGACACCATGTGAGCATTCATCTGCATCAGGAAGTATCGAGACGGTGTCTTTCGCGGTGCAACAATTGTCGATCTGAATTTACAGTGTGCCTCCGATGGAAATACTGCCGACGATTCACCTTTACAAGCAAACGGCAGCATGAAGCATGAATCCGGAAAACCATACAACCTCAGCGCTCTTGTTTATCGAGCTCCCATGATTGCGAGAGTTGAACTATGGTGTCTGGCCAGAACGAGGGCGGGAGTGAAGGCAAGTTGACTTTGTTCTGCCGTTTCAAAGATATGCCGAAGTACCGCCAGTGGGGGTTTGCAGGAAATTACGCACGTCTCTCACGCGTCTCTCCGCGAACCAAAAAGCATTCACGCGATAAGACGACGGCTATTGACGTGAGCATGAAGACATCATGGCTCCTGCAGGACTGCCGTTGTATCAAGACAAACTGTACACTGTTGTCAACGTTGAAGCGAACTTCTAACATGTGACAGGAGATGGCAACAGGAGATGGCAGTAGGAGCCATTTGAAATGTGATGCATTCGACTACCAGCGGCCACAAGACGGGTATCTGCGTCTCGGGAACGGGCTCAGCTCGTGCAGTGCTTCTTTGCAGCCTCAGTCATAGCATCATGAGTATTAGATTTACAGTGGAGTCAGGTTCATGCGTACGAGACAACGGCCCTGGAGTTCGGGAGCTAGTCGGATCAGCAGCGGGCGCATTACGCAGGGTCTGTCCCACAAGGCGTCGTATGGTGTTGCTTTGTGGTGTTTGTCGCTGGGATGGGGCTGCTGGCGATGAAGCAGCGCGGGCAGGGCGACTGGTCGCGATATGAGGCGGTGTCAACGATGACATGGTCCGATGCGCGGTGGATGACGCGAAGAGGGACAACACATCATTCAGCCCCACCAATCGCACACCAGAAGCAGCCGTTGACCGCGTAGATTTTCGAGTCCCGGGCCCCAATGTGCTGGCGACTAAAGCAAAGATACGAAACAGAGGCACTTTCTCCTGCAGGTGCCACAGAGGAGAGCCACGACTAGCTGTAAAGGGAGGGCTTGGCGGGGGGCAGGGATGGGCGATTGACGGGCGTCGATTGGAACTTATTTCGCTTGAACCCTAAGGAGCCCTGCCTGAGGGCAACTGCCTCGCCCTCCTCCTTTCCCGCCAGCAGCAATCCACCTTCTCGGCCGCTGGAGCCCTGGAACCTTTTTGCAGTGCCTTTTTACACCTACACTGCTAACACCACAGGCATATTCGCAGAAAAAGCAATTGAATAGCACCAGTCCCTGCATCGCGCTACCGCCGCGTCGCGCATCCACCTCAGAGCGCAACTGCGTCACCCGCTACAGGTGGTAGCGATTACACACGGGACGCCCGCCAGACACCCCGCCATACGCCAACATGCCTTTCTTCAAGAGTGTCTTCCACTCAAAGGATAAGCAAAAGGGCGCCAAGACTGCCCCCGAGCCCGTCGCGCCGCCAAAGCCTCGCTGGGAGGAGTCGTGGACGCGAAAGGATGTCGCTCCAGACGAGATCCAGGAGCTCATCCACGTCTGCACACAGGAGATGAAGTCGAGGGGTATGTGGGAATGCTCAATTGGCACTTTGCATCGTCGTTGCTGACTCCCAATAGCCCTGGACATGCCCTTTATGCTTCTCCCTTTCCGCCCCACCTCCGACACGAGCGCCTCCCGCAACTTCATACGCAACTTCTTCAAGGCCGCCTACGAGGGCACGCGGCAATACTCAGGCGAGGGGCTGGCGCAGGAACTGCGTCTCACTGAGCCATTGGTAGGCCGGCCTATCTGCACCCCCACATCGAGCAATGCGCTGACGTAGACAGACGCTGTGCAGCATCATTAAATGGTGCTGGAGCAGATTGCCCGGCGGCGTCGTCACCTGGGACGCTTATGAGCTCTTCCGAATCGGCGAGTCTGGTAAGCTGGCACCAAGGACATACCCCTGATGGCTGCTGATGTCATGTACAGATTCAAACTTCGCCCGCCACGCATTCGATACCTTCATACCAATCAGTGTCGACTCCGAAGCTCGCAAGCGCATCATATTTGACTTCTTCGATCTGTTGTCCTCCGTTGCAGCAAGGGGCAAGAGCAACGGTATGGGTGGCAGGAAGCTCTCTCGTCTAGCTGGATGGTGGGCATTTGAGTTCGTCGAAGACGGCAAGGGCTTCGATGGTGGCTATCGCACATGGGAGAAGTAAGCATTTCCATCCATTACATGTGAAGTACAAACTGACTTCACTGTAGGGCCGCGGATGCTGCCAGCCATCTCTTCTTCGCCTACCTGCGATCGCTATCTCCAGATATGAACGTAGTCGGTGGCATTTCAGCTTTGCCTCGTTCTCTCCAAGCGCTACTTACCCAGACTGAATACCCTCCGCAAACGCCGACCCTCATGCAAACGCGCACAACCAAGGTTGTCATGATCGTAGATTCCGTTTCGCCTACACCGTTCGCCTTACTGCGTCGCGCAAAGAACTTCGAGTACCGCGACGACGACAGAGCGCTGCAACAGTTCTCCGCTTACGAAGACACTGTCAAGGCTCTGACTGATGAGTGCCAGAGAGTACTCAAATGTATTGCAACAGCCAACCAGTCGACAGTGTCGGCAGACCCTACGACGCCAGACCCGTCATGGTCCCGCTTTGAAGACTTTGGGTTTTCAGGCATAATGGACAGCTCCAGCAGTACAAATGGTGCCTTGGTAGGGGGTAGCCCACGAGAGTTCTCCAGTCTTCGATCAGGGCCTCACTCCAACAATACCGACTTGGGTCGCCCTACCACGCCATCGTGGGCGGACTTTTTGTCCTCGGGCTTCGCCGACGAGAACAATCAATCTCCCCCGACTACTCTATTATTGCCCAACCAGAAACTCCCACCTCTAGGAGAGAACCGTGTACACAGCTCCCAGTCACACGTGCGAAATGGTCTCAACGAAGATGACCTTGAGCCTGGCGAGTTGGCAAGCATAACCAAGTTCGACCTCGACGAGACCTTCTGGTGGGTATGGATGATTAGTCTGGCTTCCGAAGAGACTACTGATCGCAAAGCCGCCTTTGGAAGATGCACGTTGATTGAAACACGTATCCAAGGCGCAAAGTGGCTAGTCATGGAAGAGCAAGTCAAAGGCGCATCTCCTGGTCCTGAGGAAGGTGCTTACATCGCCGAGAAAAAGTCCAAATTCAGCTTCACAAGGCGTGGACGACTTGGCCGCAGAAAGTCGACCGGCAAGAAGCCCACCCCGAAAGAGCCCTACAACCGGACAACTAACAATACACCCATGAGCAAGACCAGTATTGGACCAGATCAACACGCGAGGATACAGGCTGCTGCAGCAAAGCTGGCTAAGAATGAGCAGGACGAAAAGGATGCAAAAGAATTTGCGCAACGCCGAGGACGTAACGACGATACCACATCAGTGAAAACAAACAGTGTGCTTACGCTGCAACCACATCTCGTGAATGAGGCTGGTCCGGCCATGCAGTGGGACAAGAAGTTTGGCGAAGCCGCGCTTGACAAGGACGCACTTCGCGCCCAGTACCTGGGAGATGTCACTGCCGGCAGAGGCTCAAAGAGCAATCTCATGGCATCTGCTAATGGTCGCTCGTCGCCACTACCTCCAGAGGTGTCCAACCGCGATCTTCCCGCGCTACCAAAGTCCGAGAGAGGAGAGTCACGCTCACCAGCTCGTATTGATACCAAGCCTACGGAAGCATCTGTGACTCCGGTACCTTGGCCAAACGACTCGCCCACTCAGACTCCTCAGCAGCAGTCGTTCCCTGTTCCAGTTGCGCAAGACCAGTCCACTCCCATAGAGGAGACGCCCTTCGCAACGCCGCTACCCGTCTCGGACGAGAAGTCTGTTCAGTCAGGCACGACTCCGAATCAGCACCCTGCCTTGAGGAAGGCAGTGCCCGAGCGGAAACCAGTTGTGGCTCCCCAGCCCAAGAGTCGCGTCAGTGAGGATCACGGAGCCGCACCTGGGAAGAAGATCTCACCAAACAAATTGAAGAAGAAAGAAGGCGGTGGTTTTAGGAAGCTATTTGGGAGGAAGAAGACTGAGACGCCTGCAGCAGTAGCTACAACAGCACCTGCAGATGATTCATACTTCCAAGCATCTGATGCCCTCCGGAGCAACTCCCGACTTGACGACCACCAATCCAATGTACGAGAGCCATCGCCAACCTACACTGATGATCAACCCGAGCCTATGCGAGCGCCATCGCCACAACATGAGCCTAGCCCTGCGGCTTCGTCCGGTATTGTGGAGCCAAATCAAGCTGGCGGCCCTGTGGCTGGCGGTCCAGCAACACAACAAGAGATCGACCAGGCCTTCTCACGATTCGACCAAGGCCCGATGGAAGACATGCCTGCTTTTGCCCCTGCCGACGACGAGAGTGATGACGATGCCGCTGCTGCCCCAACTGTACCTCGTCGACAGATGCAACAGACGAACCCTAGAACCCCAACACAGCGTGCCCCAGAATATGCGGATGACATCTCGGAAGAATCCGTCGAGTTCACAAAGCAGCAATCGCCATCTCAAGATCGATGGGCACAGATTAGGAAGAACGCTGCCGAACGCGCAGCGAGGCTGAGTGAAGAACAGGTTCGCCGTAGCCGAAGTCAAAGCCAAAGCCAGCGGACTGACGAAGGCGAGACGAGTGGCGAAGAGACCATCGAAAGCCGCGTGGCTCGCATCAAGGCGCGTGTTGCCGAACTTACTGGCAATGTTGATGGTCAGCCGGGCGCAGGAGCTGGCGGAAGACAGTGGTAGAATGCGCATTGTAAGGCTTCCAGTACGTTATTGCTCAGAAATCTGCTAACGATTGCCCAGATCGTCCTTTAGCATCACATACCCCATCTGTTTTCCAAGCGTACAAAGAGCTCGATACCCTTTCCAAATTCGACTTTCTGGTTTTTTTTTCTTCTACGACAACCAGCATAATATGTGCTTTCACACTTAATACCCGTCAGCGCCATACATTTATGTCTGACATCGGCTTGTTTTCTGTTCAATCTGTATCAGTTTTCGATTTTTACGTTTTGCTGAGATACCTCGGGAGGAATGTACATCGTTGTCTAGGTACACATATTTGTGGACATGCACAGTCATGCGGTCACGTATGTTCGATGACCGACAATATATACCATCGCGGAGATCACGTAGTATGTTATATGTTAGAGAAGGAGGTGCGAGCTTTCGAATATTTAGTCAAGACGTTTTGCGTAGTGCAGTTGCTTAGACGTGCGCAAGCTTGTGATCCGGTTCTGCTCATGCCCCGTCACTGTCACTTTGATCGTGTCATCTTGTCAGCACTCGAAAATGTGCGGCCGGTGCTTCTGAGAAATCTGACCCAGCACAAACAGGCTCGAGTTCTTTTCTACCTTTTTCTTTCCAAACAAATGCCGAGATATACTGAGGCATCATGTCGCTGCGCTTTGTTTGCTGTGGCTGTCTTAAGGAAAAGTTCCTTTTCACCATGACACATCATTGTAGGGGGTTCAAAGGCTCAACCACTGCTAACTGTAGTCTCTCAGCCCACTCAATAAGGTATCTCGTCCTATACAGATTACGTCAATAGCAGATTTTTGCTGTTCCCTCTTGTCACATGTCTTTCCGTTGTGCCGAAGTTTGGAGTGAAGAGAGTGTACTTTCCGCAGACGTGAACGAATGTACTTGGTGTCAATTTTTAGGCACAACCTCTCCGGAATTCTATAGCTGATCAAATTCTGCGAAAGCGAATACTTTTATGCCTCATCTTCCACTCAGAGAATTTCCCATGTAGTCCTCTTTCTGCTCGGCTGGCGAAGCGATAGCTGCTCGACTAACTACTATACTGCTTACGGCAGACGCTGTAAGAAGACTTCTGGATAGACTCGAAACACCCAACATGTTGAGTTGTATATTAAACCATCTGTCCCATCGCCGCTCTCTTGATAAGTGTGCCTTGACGATTTCTCGTAGGCACCGACGATGTGGAATAATTGGCAGTGGAGATCTAGGTACGTCACCGCTATTCAACTCGCCTCCATTAATCATTATTCTTGCAGAATTCAGGATAAGCTGTTTCTCTGATTGACTTCCTCAGCAATATTTTCGATCCTTCAGTTCGTCGCCAGCCATATCTAACCTACAACCATACCATTCTGCCAACACCCAAGAAACTAGGAATAGTTCCTACATGGAGTATAATGGTTTTTGGAATGACTGACCTCAATCTTGGATGAACTATGTTAACCAGCGTCTATGGTTTTAGGATCTGACCTCGATATTCTACTCGACGCAGGAGACGAAGATGATGGGACCAGGGGGGGGAGAGTTCTTTGATCTAAGCAACTATAGCATGGATCTAGATGATGCTCTCCAGGCAGCGTGCTTCATGTGAAGAGCTCGCTTTTACACCACACCGAGGCACTTAGAGATTGCATTTCGCTGACCCACTCTCCAGAACGTCCTGACCTGCCATTACAATCTGACAGCAGAGCGCCGTCCATTCACCAAGCTAATGCCCATAACTATTCCAAAGTATGCCGGGAGCACCACGAAGGACTGTGGTACGAATTCTTAACCAGCTTCGAGACCGCCTCAAGTGGGCGTTTGTCGTCTACCGCTGAGACTACAGTAACGATGAAGCCTGGAATACCTTTGTCAATGGATGGGCTGAACATGTCGAGCGCGAGCTCCTTCGCTAGGATGCAGGCCATCTCATACAATCGCTCATGTTTACGGTCAAATAAGATCCTACCACTCTTGATGGTGCCACTGTAAAGCATGTGCAAAGGTTATCCACTGTACGAACGGAATCTCAGGAAGCAGAAGAAGAATGGCGGGTCACTTTACACAACGGCTTCCGAGGTGCTCTTAGGCATGACTACCACACACAAGTAGATACGCAGGCACTTGATGGGTGTCTGATATATGAATGGTTAGCAGAGAAAGAACGGTTGCAGTTTCTTGAGAAGAACCGATCCTGCATTTGGGCAAGCCGCATATGTCCGCCTCGTCAGGAAAATCAGGGAAGAGCTTGCTCCTCTAATAACGAATGAGAGAGAAGAGGGGGATGGTCGAAACTGAGATGAGATGAAGATCTTCTTGACATGCTCAGGACATCGTATTCGGTAGGCTATCATGAAGGTCGTATAGGCCTACTTCGTTCTGAGGTATCGCCCAAGAATAACGTCCGAGCAGGGTACCTGCATTTACCACGCGTTCTTCAGCGAGGCACAGGTCTCGGATTGGGGCCACAGGCCATGGCGGTTAGAGAAATTGGAAGCACGAGGGCCAGCGTGCGGCCCAGAATAACAAGAGATCTGTGTACCTGCATCAGCCAGGCCTCTGGGAGGGTACATACGAGGTACTGGTCAGAAACAAAGGAATGGCTGCCGGGTGGTGTGCGTGTGAGACTAAGAATAACAGCCGAACGTGTACCTGCATCTGATAGAGAGTTAGGCGCGCCGGGCCGCCTATTTTCCGGTGAACGTCACCTTTCTTTGATGGAGTGACGCGTTGCTGAGTGATGCCGGTATGTGTGATACTTCAATTAGAATGGTGAAGGTTGGTGGTGGAGAGATAGAACCGACAGCTCGGTGCGGCGCATTCGCTTCAGCAGGTGAAGTCAACAATCACATACACTAGCATCCTGGCCGTGAAATGTACGCATGGGGAAGCACGAGCTAATGTGAAGTGGGGAGAACATATGGAGCTGGCGGCTAGGTGGGTGAGATCATGAGAACGGGAAGAAACAATGATGCGAGTGGAAAGAATAGACGAACAGCAGCTTAGCAATGTGTAACATTCTGGAGTGTTGGTCGTGCGTGTCGAGGTAAGCTGGGTCGATCAGTCAATCAGGTGCAGTAGCAGGTGCGTCATGCCAGTGGTAGATGTGGGTTTGCGGCATGGCCTTCTAAAAATACCGTGTTTCGGACATGGGAGGTAGTCGCGCTAGGAACCGCGTGCTGCGAGTTTTATTCCAACTTCAACCTTAGGACATGGAAGTAGATACTGGAAACAATCTGTTTGGATGTTCTTGGATCGTCTGCCGGGGACATGACTGCATACAGATGGACGGGGACTGTGAAGATGGATACCTTTGAGCCGTCCCGCATCCGGTGGGGAAGCGGGGCGTTCTCGACGGCTGTCCATGATGGATGACTGCGATTGCAGACAGCGAAGGACTGGTTGGCGGGCCACAGCTTCACACAGGGACTGCCTTTGCAGTAAAAGAAGCTAAGGTTTGAGAGAAATGATTGACCGAATGCTCCGCCATGTGTCGCTAGCAAAACATTGCTCGGGAAAGGGTGCAAATGGCGCACCGGCAAGTGCAATGCCGCACGCACAGGGAGCACCGAATGCCTCCGCCTTCAGTCGACCTCAGGGCCATGACTTTGGTCATGACGTCTGCAAGCGCCGACATGTGTTCCCGCTAGACATGGCACGCAAGAATAGCGAGCGACCCCCGTCCGAATGCTGCAGAGCCGGTAAGATTGTCTTGCTAATCTGAGAGTACCCTCTGCAGTCAACAGGGACTGCCGTGAAGAGGTCGTGAGTAGCGCGATGCCGGTAAAATGGCTGGTCGTCTCATTCTCATACTGTACCGCATCAAGGGTCTGCTCTGCCTGTGTGAGGCCGCTGGACCCCAGCTCTGATATGTCCTTAAAATAACTCAGCTGGGCGTCGCAAGTGGAGTAAACAGCCTCGATGGAGTTAGGCAGGCCTGTGATGATTGACAGACAGATTGCACACCCAATTGCAAGGGGACAGCGGACGTGGCACCAGGGCCCAAACCCAGCAAATAACCCATAACCGGGCATATTAGCGATCGGATGGCCTGGGCTTTGCAGACGCCAGATTTCTAAATATAGGGGCGCCCACCCACTCCATCATGGTTTCCTCTGCACATCACGTTCAGAGCCTCACAGAAACTGTGAGAGCAGCAACCGACCTTTGTGTCGCGCATCACAGCCATATAGCCCTGGAGTCGCGAAAAAGAATTGCCCATCCACCGCGCCGACTTTCGCCGCCCGCCTCTTCCTGCTGCAAGCGCTGAAACGCTCAGCGTCTTCGTGATCACGCCTCGGCCGCGCAAGCTAGTACTGTCTTCTTCAGTTCCTCGAGACATCACCGTCGCTCCATGCGCTTTGACGTCTAGCATCGCCATCCACCATGGGTCGCAGAAAGATCGAGATCAAGGCCATCAAGGACGACCGGAACCGCTCCGTGTAAGCCAGCTGCCCCAGACACATTGCGATCAGCCACTAACACGCCATAGAACCTTCCTCAAGCGCAAAGGCGGTCTCTTCAAGAAGGCGCACGAGCTCTCTGTGCTTTGCTCGGTAGACGTCGCCGTCATCATCTTCGGCCACAACAAGAAGCTCTATGAATTCTCTTCCGGCGACATCAACGAGACCATTGGCCGGTACCAATACGTATGCATTCCCTGCTACCCTGGACAGAGAGTTGCGCTAAAGTACATGACACTGACAGGTCACGCAGTATGGCGGAGCACACGAGCACAAGGGCCCGGAGGACTTTATGGGCAAGAAAGATGGCGACGACGACGACGACGATGAAGAGGGCGCTCTTCCCCGAGACTCGCACACCCCGCCCGAGCACTCGATGATGCCCCATCACATGCAGCACCCGCAGTTCCAGCACATGAGACAGGGAGCGCCATCAATGTCTCCGCCAATCGGCAACGGCGTCCCCTTTCAACAGCGAGGTCCCTCTCCCCAGCCTCCTCACCACCTATCGCGACCCAACTCGAGAGTAGGCCACATTCGCAGACCGAGCTCGAACCTCGCGCCGCCCCAGCCATACCCTTCGCAAGCCCCTCCACCACCCAATAGCTATGCCTACATGCCGAACCCGCCTTTCTACAATCCGCAAACTGCCCAGCAAATGGCCCCCAAGCCTCAGCCTACTCCACCCGCCGCACAGTACCAATTTACACATCCCATGCCTACGCATCCTCAAGTGCAGTACATGCAACAAGAGCAGCAACGTCGGCAGTCAATGCCGCCTACTTTCCAGCAACAGCAGCAACAGCAGCAGCAGCAGCACCATCTTCAGCAGCAAGTGCAACACCAGCATCAACAAGAACAGCAAGCGCAAGCACAGGCACAGGCACAAGTGCAACAACAGCAGCAGCAGCAGCAGCAGCAGCAACAACAACAACAACAGCAGCAACAGCGACTGTCCCCGCCCCCTCCACCTCCGCAAGCCTCTCAACCGCAGCAAGAACTCCCGCAACAGCCTACGATTACTGTCCCGTCCCCCACGCAACAGAACGATTTTCAGAGTCCCCCTCTCCCCCAGCCGAAGCCACTACACGCGTCCGCCAGACACAGCATCTTCACACCAATCGACGACAGCCAGTCCATGCTCGCTGCGCATTGGGGTAGCAGTAGCAATTCAAACCTGTCTCGCAGCGAAGCGCCATATATCAAGCAAGAGAACCGTGCTCAATCAATTGATGTAGCCGCCATGTCACGACTGCAGCCGAATGGGGAACCAAAACCTCAAGCACAGCCTTCACAGCTACCTGTTCAGCAACCACCGCAGCGAACGCAGTCTACATCCTCAATGCCCACGATCCCTCCTCCGTCACGAACAAACAGTCTGCGCATGGGTGGTGAAAGCAAGCCAAGATTGAGGGTGCAGATCCCGAGCGAACACTCAGATGCTGGAAGTGCCACGGCCGACTCGTCTCCAAAGGACTCTGGCACAACTGGCGCGACCCCAGGACGAAGCACTGATGCGTCGCACTCCTCTGGCGTAGTCCTGCCTCCTCCGTCACCAAGCGCGAACTCGCTTCTCAGTGCAGGTGCAACTGGCCCGCCCAACCCCTTTGCTCGTCCGCCGCCGCCATCTAACAGTAACTCATACGGTAGCCGCAACGACATGGAGACGCCAATCTCAGCACTTCCCAGCCGCTTTGTGGAGAATGGCCTCCTTCCCTCGCCCTCGAGCTTTTACCCCGAGTGGGGTTTTGGTCGCGACTCCAACATGCTGCCGAGTCCTTTGACTTTCCAGACACCCGTAGCCCCGAATGGACCCAGCTTCGCCCGTGACGATTCGGCGGAGCGCAAGCGCAAGACGTCTGATCAGGGCTCGGATGACGGCAACCAAAAGCGGGCCAAAACCTGAGCAGTGCAGCGGAGTTTGAAAAGTTGTTTGAAGCGACAGTCTTTCTCGCATGGCTTATTTCCACGGCTATGCTGTATTTGTACCCCATACTTGGTGCTTCTATTCCGGTCTTTACTTCCTGAGGACCAACAAGCGATGCTCGATGCATACTATACTTTTGCTATTTTGTTTGAAGGCTTTGTAGAATTTGGGTGCAGGGGCGTTGGATACCCACGATGATTGTCGTTGTTGTCAACTACTATTTTGTCTCTTTTCACAATTTGACGGTTGCACATGGACCCTGATGGGTATACCGGTTATGGCATGACGAACCATCAGAGTCAGGATATGTACTTCTTTGTAAATAATACCAATGAACGGCTTGGCTTAGTCCACACAAACAACCAGGGGTACCCCATTATACAAGCTCTGCGTGACTCGACAGCAACTGGCCGAACCCTCGGGAAGCGAAATGTTGGCAAGAAGGGCAGGCTCAAATTTTGCGTATGCTGCGTACTGATTTGCCCGTATTCGTATCGTGGTAGACGTTCCCTGTGATGTTGACCGGGCACGACCTACTGCGTCATAGGGCCAAGCCGACTGCCCCGCTGCGCATACGCCTTGCCCAAGAGCTCGCCGTTGCTGTCAGCCGCAACCGGGCTGTGAAGGGCGACGTTGGGCTTTGATCGTTGGAGCCGCATCTTACTCGGCTGATCATAAAGACTTTGTGCCGTAAGCTACTAGCATCTCCCTGTGTTTTGGAGTCAGTTGCGCGCCTGACGATTGCCTTCGCTCGCCGAGAAGCTGAAGCTTGGTGTCACATTCATATATCATCAGCCCCGACACGTTGCGACACTCGCTTTCCACCTCACAAACACTCGACAAATTGATCCCATCATGGCGTACAACAAAGGCTTCAACCCGGACAGGCTGCCTATGCATGCAGAGCCTGAGCAGGTATGGCATTCAAACATTGTCGACGGGCATGCAAGACTGACGTAGACCAGGCTGCTGCCATGATGTCGCAAAACGCACCTGCAGCCGCACGCCCACCGCGCACAAGCTCAGCGCGTCCGGACTACAACAAACCTCCCCCGCCCGTTCCCAGCGGCCAGAGATACGACACCCGTCCAGATGAGCGCTATGGCGGCGGTGGGGGACGCGGCGCAGGAGGTGGTGGATATGATAGCAGACCCCCGCCAGGCGCATACAGCGACACGCGCTACGACAGCCGGTACGACTCGAGACAGGACAACAGAATGGCAGTTGGGTCGCCTCCACCCGCCAACTACGGCCATGGACCACCACCACAGGGATATCATGGAAGACCGCAGTTGGCGCAACAGTCGAGGCCGCCGCCCACGCCTGCGCCGCCAAGGGATGCGAATGACCGCGAGGCACTCTGGAGATTGTTCGGCGCCGTCGACAAGGACAGTATGTTGTAGCCACGAGCCTGGTCATGTACTATGCTAACGGATGCGGTAGAGAGTGGTGAGCTCACAGAAGCTGAACTGCGGACTGCGCTCGTCAACGGAGATTGGACACCTTTCGACCCACACACTGTCCGTATGATGATTCGGATGTTCGACACCAACAGATCTGGATCTGTCAACTTTGATGAATTCTGGTACTTGCTCTTGCCCCCTTTTCTTTCTTTTCAGAATTTAAAGCTAAAACGTCGCTCACAGTGGACTATGGGGATTTCTCTCTGCCTGGCGCAGCCTCTTCGACCGTTTCGATCAAGATCACAGCGGTAGCATATCCTACGCCGAGTTTAACGAGGCCCTCATTGCCTTTGGATACCGCCTTTCCCAGCAGTTCGTCACCCTTCTGTACCGCACCTACGACCGCGACGGTCGCAATGCACTGAGCTTCGATCTATTTGTGCAAGCGTGCATTAGTCTGAAGAGGATGACGGATGTGTTCAAGAAGTATGACGAGGACCGTGATGGTTATATCACACTCAGCTTGTAAGTGGTCCAAATTGAGGGCTTGGAACATGTTCTCAGAATCATGGCTAACTGTATTTGCAGCGAGGAGTTTCTCACAGGTGCGCAAGCTTTATTCCTCTTCAACTCCATTTCGGCCACCACTGATACCGGACTCTACTAGAAATCATCCGCCAGCGATGAGTAGCAGGAACACAAGTACGCGATTTTCTCAACACTTGGATATGTTGCCAAATCGGGACCGCCCAGCATTATCCCATCGTTGCAGAGGCGGACAGATCGTCTCTACAGACCACTCATAAGTGACCTAGCGCGAAGGTGCATGATGGAAAATCTAATTTGGTGTTCAAACAGTGCGGGAACATGCGTTGTGTTGGTCGGAAACCAAGCACGCTTGATGAAGGTGACGAATTTAGATACCCGTTTAATACAAACGAAAGTTTCCATACCACATTTGCGTCTCTCTGACTAATTGCTTGTGCTTATCGAAAAAGGCAGTCTACCAACTCGGAAATCTATTTCTCCATCTCCTCTTATCCCGTCGGCTGCCGTAATAATAATCATCTTCGTCGGGCTCAGCATCGTAGCTTCTGACCTGTCTTCCCGAGCCGGCATGCGTATATAGATGTTCTCGTACACCCCAACCATCGCGGTAGCCGTTGTAGTCGAATTCTGGACCGTAGTGGTATCTTCATCCTCATTGTCAGTGATGATCGAAAAAAAAAAAGACGATATGTAGAACGACGTATGCTATTTAAGTGAGATGGTGAGAGAGAGTTGCTCACGCAGCACGATCATAACGATAACTATCCGGGCTACCTAGTGTGCCGCGGATACTTTGGCAACGACGCGGTTGGACAGGTCGCCACGGCACCATCCTTTGTGTTTGTGTGTAGTATTCGTTGAATCGCGCGAAACTGGTACCTGTTTGATTTTCGTCCAGAAATCAGGGTACTACGGGGTATCTGGACTGGTGGTTAAGGTTGTGGTATTTCAGTTATAGGGTTTGTAGAAGAGCGATCACAATGCATAATCAAGTCGGATTGCTATATACCGTGATAGTGGGAGCGTGACTGGGGGGATGGTGATGTGTACTTGGGCTGGCATGGTGAGGTGTCGAGTACGTGCTGCACATGCCCTATGGACAGGGCGGAGGCGTGTCTGGAGACGGATGAGCACGGCTTGTCGTGGACGACAGACGGTGAAGAGTTCATGTGCTGCAGGATATTTTGTCCTTTACTGAAAACCCTTCTGTCACTCTTAACTGACGATGTATAAAGGTGCTTCTTACAAGTATTGTACAAGGCAAAGTGCTTTTCACTCCGTATCGATAGTATAGGCAGGAAGGGGTGAAGGAGTCATCCGTAGCCTTTCTAAAAATTGTTTGATTAGGCTGGTGTTTCATAAGAGATAAGGCGAGGTGCACGAGCATGAAAAGTTGATGTCCTGTATTGAGTATGTTGATTCAAACAGACTATGGGTATACAATCTTCTTCAATCGCTAGATCCTTGTGAAACACATTCTGGTATCTTGGGGTATATGACAAATTTAAGGAAAGACATGAGCTCGTTCGTGGGAGTCGTGAGAAGAAAAGGAAACCGCTGTACTCCAAGTATCGCCCCATCGCGACACAACCAATTTAATAAGTTCAGAAGCGCACAATGCAATCTTCAACTTCCTACTCCACTTCCTCTACACCTTGTAGGGCTTGCGAGCGCGGCGAGAGCTATGCTCTTTACCGCCAATGCAGAAGCTAGCGACCCAGCCAAGGACCGCAACGAGCATGAGTGCGGTTGCAGCCCATGTTAGAGCAAGGAATTTACCGCCCCAGTTTGCGCTAAGACCAATGTCACTACCATGCTTGTTGATGATTTGGGTAGCCTAAAGTAGAGGTATGAAGTTAGTTCATGTCTCACATGCGCGTTGTACAGTCAAAACTTACCTTGATCATAACGGCAGTGACAAGCGCGCTCGCCAATCCAATAGCCAGGAACGCAAGTGTGGCGAGAAGGAAGTTGACACATGGAGTGAGTCTTCCATTCCCGATGAAGATTCCAAGAACGCCAGTAATGAGCGTGATAAAGATAAGGCAGATTGCGATGACGTAGAGAACGAACATGGCCGCCATGAGCGCGTTGAGTGTGTCGATTCCCGTTTGAATATCATCTGGCCATTGCAGGTCTTGTAGGGTAATGTCTACACCCGTCCTGTTGAGCGCATCCTGGATGATCTGGGTAGGGTCGAACTTGTAGGTAGCCCTGCTCTTCGCGCACTCGGTAACGTTCTTGCTGATGTCGCTCTGACTCAGCGTTGCATTTGCCACTTCTCCAGGCTCATACTGTCCTTGGCAGTAATTCAACATGTGTGCCGAGTACCAGTCTTCGACACCAATGCGCTCGCGGAGCTCATCAATCTGTTCATTGATCTCGTTTGTGACGCTATCGGTGATGGAATCAGGGATGAGGTTTATAATCGATGAGAGTGTAGAGTCGGAATCTGATGTTGCAGAGGAGATGAGATTTTGCCCGACAGCAGAAGTGTTAAGTGTGAGGAGAGAGTAATCTTCCATGAAACCCTTCTTGTGACCCGCGAATAGGCATAGGAATGAAAGTATGAGGGCGGCGGTACAGCAGAGCACCGGTAGTATAGCGATAAACCGCATCGTCGTGGTGTTATTGACTTTGCGATTGTGGTGTAGATGTGTGGATAGTCGCGATCGTTTTAGATGCTACTAGTGAATGGCGTTGTATTTAAAGAGCAACGAAGGGCTAAAACGCAGACAAAAGACAGGAAGCGATGGATGGTGAGTTGTGTCAAAGACGATAAAGAAAGAGTCAACCACTTATACGTGACGCGCAAATACAAGCTTGCAATGCGACGACCGCGCAAAAGACCCACACGTCACTCACTAGGGCCCAGCCATGGCAACAAGCGAATAGCAAACCTGACCAACAGGGCCTCAGCCTCGAGATCAACGTCTTGGAGATACGAATCAGGGCCTATTCAGCACACTGACCACAATGTTGACGTGTTGCTGGGCGTATGTTGTTCAGACCCTGGAACTATGACGCAACGTAGCGCTAAGCGAAGCACTGGTGCAGGGGTGAAGCAGGTACGACTGCAGTATAATAATGCCTAATTTTTTTGGTTGGTTGACAAGGGAAGGTTCTGAAGAAGAAAAAATGTCAGAATGATTCATCCTGTACTGACTACAAAGGTGTGGGCAAGAGTGCAGCGCTTGCAAATGTGTCAGCCACGTGGATGTGGGGTGCACAGCCGCAATGTGCGCGTGCGAGTACGAATCGACAAGACTATGGGTGACACAAATAGAAACTGGATTCAACAGAAGCACATTTACGTGAGCAGACGCACCATGGCAGACCCAAGATTTGACTGTCTAAATCGTTTGTATTCGGGTCCGTCGCTATGCTCCCGTCTTCTATTCATGAGGCATCGTCTATCATGATGACCGTAAGTGCATTACATTCGTGAGCGGAGCAGCCTGTGCTCTCAGATTTTTGAGTGGAATCGTCATAAGGGGTTGTGGTAGTAATGTGATGTTGCGCGTCGCGCTTTGGTGTTGAGTCGAAGTCACTTGGCTCGGTGCTACCCAGCCTCATGACGGCGTCTTCTTGGAGTGGTTTGCCGGTTGGGCTGCCGACGATGAAGCAGCGCTGATGCCATCCGTGAAGGGAGAGTATGGGGCCGTCACTGAGTGCGGGGGTGCTCGTTGGCCAGACTTTGTGCGTGGAGGCTCAGCAGATGCTGGCCACTTCTTCTGCTCTTCATGGATCTTGTCCAGTGGTTCTCCGACTACGTGGTACTTTTCCCAATTGATGGGCGGGCATCGCACGATGTTCTGGGGCTGTGGTATCGCGGGGAACTTGGGTGGGTCTGGCTTCGCGTCCATATGCGTTGAGTCTTTGCGCATGTCTGCGCTATTGGTGTCTTGGTCATTGCTACGTGACGAGTCGGCCAGACCCGACAGCGTTGGGGTGAGTATGTCCTGGTAGGAATGGGAGGCGTGGGCTCTCTGTTCCTGCAGCGACTTGACGAAGGTTTGCGGGTCAGACACAGCGGCTGCCTTGAGCTCCTCGAGGGCCTTGAGATCGCGCTTGCTCTTTTCGCGCTGCAGCTGCAGGAGCGATATGGCGGATCGCAGGGCGATGGCATCCGGGTTCTCTGTCTCGGATATGGCGACAGAGGGCGGCTGCGGTCTGAAGGTGGCAGTGGGCGGAGGGGCAGGGCGGGGTCGGGGTTCGGTGCGCTCCACAGGAGCTAGCTGGGCAGCAGAAGCTGTGGGCGTGAGAGGTGACACGGGCGGGCGGTCAGGAGTGGGCGACTTGGAGCGGTTGCCAGAGTGCTCCGAGGCGGTCGAGGCGTCGCTGGACGAGACTGGGCGCGTCGTCGTGTCGACCAGGAGCGCTGGCATGGCGGCGTAGAAGGAGACGTCTCCAGGCGCAAAGCCGGAGAGTCGTGGCAGGATACCGATCGGCGACCACCCTGCGGTGAAGGTACGAGGGCAGACCGCGCAGAGGCCTAGGAGCTGCTGTGGTAAATCTCCGGCGTAGTTCGCCGCGAGGTGGCGGCGGTTAGGCGCTGTCTAGACTTGTGCCTGGGCCGTCCATGCCAGATGCGATTTGCGATGGGAATGTCGCAGTTATCGACACGTCGCGATTTGGTTGGGAAGAGTGTGCGGAGCCGGCTGCGGGCGAGAATTTCTTTGGCTGGCAGTCGGCTGGACGGAGAGCTCGGAAGGAGTTCCATGTCGTCTAGGAGACATATGTACCCGAACATGGATGCTACTTCGGCTTCAGCATGGTATACAGCCCCGACGTCGCTTACACTGCTCTCTGGCCGTGCGAGCCATGCTCAGACAGCGACTGCGTGATGCGCCGCTTGTCGGCAGTCTCTGCAGACGACTCGGTCATGTCCACTCAGACGACTCGGTCATGTCCACTCGGTCTACGTCTTGGTCGAGCAGAATGCCAACTCCCTTGGGGACATAGGAGACAAAGTAACAAGCTAAACACGGCACCGGCACGACGCAGCAGCGTCAGTGCGCTCATCTGAAGCTGCTGCCGACTCAGAACCGACATAACGGCTTTCGCGATCTGCCCGTCAGATTGCCAATTTCTGTCTCTCAAAACGCGTCCATCTCATCCGGCGGCATATTCGCAGATTCACGCAGCCGACCGCCTGCAAGGGTCAGCGAGAGAGAGCGAAGCCACCCATGAAATCCACCACAACGCCATCTCCAGCCCGCCAATGGCGTTGGTCTGATAGACAGTGCCGTGTGCATGGCCATCTGGATCAGTCTCCATGTGTGTAGCGTACCCGCGCAGGGCGGCGTCCTACCACTGTGAGTCGCTCTTGCTTCTTCCTAGCCTTGCGAGCCCTCAAATGCGCCTTCTACTTGCAGAACTTCCAGCTCAATCCAAGCACGCCCGTTTACCTCACCACCCGTCCCGTCCTGTCATCAAACCGTCCCTTCTGCAGCTGCATTTTATTCCTCGCAATGCCACTCAAATTCCTCTCTTCTCCACCCTCGACTACCATCCACTACCTACCTCTACCTGCATGACATGCGCCACGCCTTAGCGACAGCCTGCCAATCAAACGACGATCAAACTGGCACCGACTAGCCGCTAAACCCTAAACGCCTACGCGACCGAAATCACTTTCCTTAGCCATGGCTCCGAGTGCAGACTTAACAGCACAGTCCCCGCTGGCGCGCATGCCCAAGCTGAAGTACAGAAACCCGCTGCCGGCCGACAGCCTTTCGATTGCCTCCGACACTTCCCAAGACAGTGGGCCCCACTCTGCATATAGTCAAGAGCCTCCCGCGACCCCGGATTCAAACGCTCCCTCGAACATCTCCCGTCCTTCCTTCGAAACTACCTCCGTGACGTCATCCAGTCTGGCTTCCATATCCTCCAGCAACTCTTCGTCAAATGGCTCCAAGTCATCGAAGAAGAAGAAAAAGGGCAGCTCCGTGCTCGGCTTCCTTTCTCTAAAGGAGCCGTCTCAAGTTGCTCTGGAGCAATTCGCCGAACAACAGCGCAAGCAGAATGCCAACTCGGGAACATCCACACCCCAGTCCAGAGCCAGCAGCAACTATGTTGGCCAGAAGCTCCCGCCATCTGTACCCAAGGTCAATTCGAAATGGGACGGTGTCCCCGAGTCCGTCAAGAACCGCTACTCGACATCAAGCGCATCAACCAAGGACAATAGAAGCAGCGTTTCGTCCAAGGGCTCCTTCGGCTCGCCTCTCAAACATGCTCCCTGGAACGAATCCAGATTTTCGGTCATGACCGACGGGACTCGTAATCCACCAAACTCAGTCGCCTCCATGTCCTTGTCGAACCTTGCCATGCGAGACGAAGCTTCTGGACTCGGATCCTCGCCATCTACCACCACGCTCCCTGAGATGTCTTACTACTTCCCTGACGATCCCGCTGTATCTGGCGCGTTACCCCCAAGATCTGAGAGCGCAGGCGCAACGTACGATTATACCTCACAACTGCCAGTTCGACTGTCAGACTCAACTTCAAGTGACCGTCCAAGCATGGACGGATCGGTAGACTCCAGACCGCATTCACCTGCTTCTTCAACGACATCAACGGATACAGTTGTCATGGATACTGCAGATACCATCTTCAGAAAACTCAACGACCGACCCAGCCAAGGTGCATGGGGAAGCGGTGCACATGCCGTTCAGTCACCTACTGAGGACATTTCTGATCATGTGCCTGACTCACATGACTTTCTCTTCCAACCCCAGCCTGTCATCGAACGCCGACAAAGTGACCCGCCCACTATTTACGAGTCGTCCCTGGCTGCATCGTTAATCCCTCATTATGCCCCTCAACGACCAGCTCAGAATTTCAGTCGGCCGATGGCAACTAGGGGCCCACGACCAGTTCAGCGCTCTACACACATGCCACACTATAGGAGGACGCCATCAGCCCCAGCGCTGCCGACCTTGTACGAAGCTTCACTGGCTAGCACCGACGATCTTCGACAAGATCGCGACGACGAAGATGACGCTGATTCATATTCGATTGCACCTTCTACCATTGCACCATCTGAGCTCTCCAAGCATTGGTATGAGTCTCCACGTGAACGCCTAGGTCTGGGCAGACGCCTTCAGATAAATGACGTCTCACCTTGGGGGGAAGAGAGAGAGGCCGCAGGTAAGCCCAAGAAAAGTCGATTGTCGATGTTTGGGAAGGCTGTGTCCAGAGGATAGGCTTTGCGGGCAAAGCTTGCGCATTGACTGACTCCCAGTGGGTAGCTTCGCGCGATCCCCAGCGATCATCGACCAGTGCCACACCGACACTCGTGTCCTGATACGCCAACTCATGTACAAACTTTTGCGATTAGCGATATCCAGCATTTTCCTCGCTTCGGCGACCTTCATGTACGGCGGCATTTCTGGACGCCAGTTTCTCCAACATAGATACCCATTTCACGAATCTTACATACCCGCTTCTTAATAGCTACGTCAATCCGCATGGCCCTCTAGGTAATGTAGTGCTTAGTTTGTTTTCTTGTAGGGCTGATCCTCATTATGATCGCATTCCGATCGGGGTGTCAAGGAGCTGCGCGGATCGCGCGTCCCTTGGAAGCTTGGACATCAGGGACTTCTCACATCACATCATGTGGCGCACTGTAATGCAACGTTTTGCGTCCATCACATGCTTTTCATGCAAGCCATGGCCTCACTAAGTGACCCCTTCAGACCCTGTATTGCTTCTGCCGCCGTTCTTCGGCCCCACAGTTGGCGCATATGCCTCGTGATCGCCAGGTCCGTCGAAACCTTAACGACTAGATCCACTCCCTTGCAGTATCGCGAGAGCACGCCTTTTTACCTTTACATTTGGCAGGCCTAATGTGATTCGCCTAGCTGACTTAATTCAATGCGATCAGTCAATATCCAGTGAATCAACTCAGTACAGTCGCCGAGCAGGTCAGCCCGCATCTGGTATATAACACGATCCAATAATACACAGCACATCTACTCGACATTCGGATCTCACATAGCACGTTATGACATGTATCTTCTCCCTCGGCTGACCTGCTGCGCATGTGACAAGGCATGTATTGCCCCTTTCGAAATGTTCCTTCCATCAGCCTGAATAAGTCATGATGCCACTAAGCTGATTGCCGACGTACACCCACTAAAGTAGCTTTCTCCAGATCATCGTGGAGTATCGTAGTACCCCCTTGCGACACTAGCCTAATCGACAAGGCAGATCCGACCATCTCCGGGTTACCCATGACCAAGTGTCGTGTTATTTCCGAAAGAGAGAGCGACTGTCCATACACTGGTAAAGATACTTCTTGGTTAACAGCACTACCCCAATGTGAACTTTATACATGGTTTCACGATGGAAGTATATGCGAGCTTCAAGGACGAGTGACAAGGTGTGACACAGACTACGCGACCCGTCGCGAACTTGGTGCTGGAAATGGATTGGAGTGGGAACATTTTCGGGTATTTGGAAGAGGAGAGCGTATAGGATGTGCGTTAGTGGAGCCGGCATTCTATATTTGCATACACGGCGAACAGTGTATAGATATCGATCGCGAGAGCAGAACTGAGCACGGGGTCGACGCGTGTTCAATCTTAATACTATGGCAGTGATCAGAAAGTTTCCCATCATATTCAGCACCATCATTCTTTATTTGACCAATAGTTCTTACCGGTACCAGAACATGAAGTGTGTTTGGTGTTCATCTGTACGCGTCCTGTGCTGGGGAGGTGATATGATCACATTGGAGAAGAACTGTTGGTCAACTCTCGAACACACAAGAGTGGATCTTTTGGTTATTTTGAGCCAAGGCCCGAGGTCCCATCGTATGTCGTTCGTCCTTCCCTGCTACCCCCGCATGCCCTCTAGTCGCTCCATAACCGTCTTCTTGATGAAGCCCGTGCCATCTCGCGTTGGGCCAGCACGGAGACTCCCACATTCATAGCATTTACAACATTCCGTTAAACCCCATGACGTACCACGTTCGCACCTTCTCACTCTCTCAAGTCAGTATTCAAGGCCATAGTGTAGTGTTTCGTCTTTTGAGCAGTTCGGTATGCGAATGGCTACGTTGCACACTTTTTTTCAGTCAGTGTATGTTGATGCGGTATCGCTTGTGAAACGGACTGTAGCTGGATGTCCTTTTCACCTCATCATTCCGGAACTGAATTTCCTTCACGTGAAAAAAGGCTACGATGTCGCCGCCGGCAATCTACTTATCTTCTGTGCGGAAGTCTCTGAAACAGGATATATTGGACTTGGAAGTTGTACTGTGTCTCCTTGAAGAAGTTTCTGTTAGCATTCCCAACGTAGTCTGTTCTTTTGAACAAGCTAAGCCCCTATTCAAGACGTGCTTGTTGTCTAGATCCTCGCATGCCTTCGAGTTTGTGAGCAATCAGTTGGAGTATCATCGTTGCAGTTATCTCCATAAACTACTTTCAAATATTTTCCTCTGTGCTTGCCCGGTTTCATAGTAAAGCGTGTATATGAACTGCTCGCCACTTCAGCGCGGTACTCTTCGTTATTCTTGTTCTTAGGTGTCTTGTTAGCGAAACAAGCTTGTTTCCATACGGAATTGAGGAAGAGCTCCACTTCTTCTTCAGTGTTCGCTGTAGAAACATACGCAGTTGCACTTCATGGAGAGTACAATACGTCGGCTAGAGGGTCTGTTTTGGAGTGTCTGCATAAATGCCCGGCTTCAGTGAGGCTTCAATGATGTCTGCAGGGCCTGATAACCCGCAAACGCTATGATATCCGCGACACATCTAGACAGCAAATTGGGTGCATCGATCAAGAATGCCATGCTATCGGCTGGGAAATGTTGCCAATGTACGATGACGAACGAGATTTTGGCGACAGGCTTAAGCGAATGCGAAAGTCTTACCAATGCGAACGCCAGCCCCCACTATAGAGATCGAGAAACTGGAGGCACGCACGTGGCACGCTTCCTTGCTGACATGGAAGACGACACATAAGCTGCAAGTTTCCTCTTGTGAAAAGATGTTGGCTTTCACCTCTCTCCTCATCAAGCGAGAAGCTGCACGATGTCAAATACCAATAATCTCATACACATTTTAAATGCGCTCATCGGAAGCCTCTGCATTGCCGTTCTTGGCCTTACAGCACACGCAGTGGCATTGAAAGATGAGCTTGATAGTATCTTGCCATCTAGTGTTAGGAAGACTGGCATGACGTTCCTTTTCTGGCCTGGATGTGGTGGCCTAGTCGATATGCTGCTCTTCATTCTATTATGGAGTTTGACTCCCTGGGAACAAGACTCAGTATGTCTGTCACTTGGTAGTGGCGTACAGAAATTTGCTGACGGTGCAAAGACTAATAAACAAGCCGCATATCTCAATGGCCTTTTGTTCGTCGCAAGCTTTATCCTCGGTCGTCCACTCATAGTACTCATCTTTACTTTCGTTGAGTGGGGTCGTGCCGTCAAGAGCGACACTAGTACATATTCCGGATATCTTACTGTCGAGACCTGGGCATGCGCATTTTCGAAACAGAATAGGAACAATTTCGCAGACTCTCTTTGTAAAGAAATCCAGGCAGCGCGCTATCTCCTCATACCAGTGCTCGTGCTGGGCGCTATAATGTTGACTTTGATGCTTCGGAAGAGATTTCTTGTTACGAAAGGGGTTGTGCAGTAAGGAAACGCTGCAGCGAAAGTCCGTTACCCGGTGTTTTACAAGTTCAACAGAATTCATGCTTCATCAATCTGACATCATAAGAATGATATTTGTGTAGTGTTGTATTGACTTTTCCACGGTATTGTGCATCCAAGAATTGGTGACGAAGGTGATCGTATAAGGAATCGGTGCAATGGACCTAGGCTCGATGCTGAAGATGCGCAGGAAAGTCGGGGGACAGGGAGGGGCAAGGGAGCTTGTTGGTCTAAGCCTAAGCGGGCTAGTGAGCTACGAAGCTCACGTTTTCACGCGAGATAACTACTGGTCTGAGACACCATGACGCCGCACGATACGCGTCGTGAGAGTAAATCGAACATCCTCATTGTGCCAACAAACAAAGACCTCTTATCCACATCATGTCAACCGAGCCAGCATCTTCTGTAGCAGCACCAGCATCTTACTATATCTCCAAATCGAATGTTTGCGTAAACAGCAAAGGTGAAAGCATCGGTAATGGTGTTTTCGCTAACCAAAGATTCGGGGCCGGCGAAGAGATTGCCAACTTCAAGCGCCCGCTTGTTGGCTCACTAGAGACCGAACGGCTACTCGACACCTGTGCGAATTGTTACCTCTGGACTGAAGGTTCATCGACTGGAACGAGGCTGTATGTACCTGAAGGGGCGAAAGTGAACAAATGTGCTGCATGCCAGAGATTTCAATACTGCAGCAAGGTATGTCAAGCTGATGCTTGATCAACACACAAAACTAAGATGCATCAGACGTGCCAAAAAGACGCGTGGAATCGGGGTCATAAGCATGAGTGCAAAACGCTGAAGCCCATGGTGGGTAGACATCTCCCCAAAGCTTTCCTCGCTTGCATGGAACTACTCATCAGACGCAAGCACAATCTCATCTCCGATGAAGAATGGGAGCTGCTTTGCCGCTTACCTTCCCACATCGATGATTTCAAGCGCAGTGGAACCTATGAGAACATCGAACTTATGGCAATGGGTGCTGGTCAGTTCTCATTGTCGCAAAACATGTTCGACAAGGATTTTGTTGCCGCGATGTATGGCCGAGTAAGTTGCTCGTCGAGACCTACAAGCGCTCTTGCTAACTTGTATTAGATAATGTCGAATGCCCTTACATTGATCACACCAACACTCGATCCTCTAGGTATTATGATAGATCCTATGCTCTGCCACATGAATCATTCCTGCGATCCGAATGCATACATCATGATGGACGGACCGCAGGTGAGTATTCGTACTCTACGGCCTATCAGGAAAGACAAAGAAATCTTCATCTCTTACATTGACGCTACCAACCCCTACCACAAGCGGCAAGAAGAACTTCGATCACGATGGTTCTTCACCTGTCGCTGTGCAAAATGCCAGAAGAAAGCTACTCTCCAAGAAGACAACTGGTTAGTACCAGCAAATCCTCGGTTCGTGTTGGGCAAAGACGAAATGGAAGCAATGGCCGGGACCCAGGAGAAGGCCTTCGAACTGTATACCCAGCTCCAAGGAATGGCTGACTCAAAGCTTGTTATCAAAGCGCTTCAGGAAACTCTCAAGATAGGCTATGAGTCGAGATTCTGCCCAGCTTACCGTCAACCGTATGCCGCGGTCCGTGACGATCTGATTGTACACCTGCTCTCCGTCGGGAAGTACCAAGAGGCATGGACACAATGCGCAAAGCGGTACAAGCACATCCTTCCTAAGTTGCATCCGGTCCCTTTTCACCCGGTTCGGGTAGTCCAAACATGGCAGATGGCAATGCTGGCTACATATCTAGCTAGCACCGAAGAGGGCGTGAGTGCGCCAGGGGTGAACATGGGCCTCATCGCCATGATGCTGGTGAAGCAGGTACTGGATGTTGCGCACCTGAGCCATGGAATGACTCATACATTCACAAAGAGCGTGAAGGCCAAAGCAGAAGAAATGATTGAGGAGCTGAAAAGAAGTATTGGCAATCCGAACAACGATGTCATGAACCGAGAACTTGAGGTCCAGAGAGACAGGCTGATGGATATGGGCGATTGGGTTAAGGACGGGGAGTTTCTGGGAAAGCCAGCACCGCTAGAAACTATACAATTAAAAGAGAAAGCTTTCAGCGTCTGATGGGGTGATCAGTCGCATGAGCTTCTATAGTCTTTGAACTGATTCAGTACTTATCACTACCCATTGTACATTGAGTATCTCCCCACAACGTTGCAAGCCACAACCACAATGACTATAAGTACGGATAGGCTGAGTTGTACAATTGTCTCAGGCACTTAGAGCATGATGTTTATATCTTGTTCGCAGACAGACATGAGCCGACATTTTCTATGTGAAGGTGAGTGGTGAAGCTCCACAGATTCTCACCGTCACCACCGCCCTGTTTTGACAACGAGTGATCTCACCACGCAAGCGCAACAGTGAGGCGCCTGACTATTTGAGCTCGTCCTCTGGCTCTCAATTCCATTCTCTTGAAACTGCACTTCAAGCTTCATCCTGCTACATCTTACGTGGCCAACGCGAGCACCGCCCAACAGCATCATATTTCTTAAGGCCACACTTCTGACAAGGTCTTCAATATGCCCCCAAAAGCTGCTACTCTCGATGGCCAGAAGGTGGTCCCAGCCGACTGCGTCTCTGTCCTCCTTATGGCCTTAGGCAGTACCACCATCACCAAGGCTCAGTATGAGATGATGTCGGCTCTTGACGGCACACGTACTGCAAGCTCTTTCGAGCATCAATTCCGCACGATCACAGCCAGGGCAAAGGAATTGAAAGCCCGTGTCGAAAAGGGCGAGACCTTCCAAGCCGTGGCACCTGTCAATAAGCGTGGTGAGTACTGATACTCTTTCGACCTCTCATCACCACGACATTAACAGTATATAGGCCAGACTAACCCAGCAACACCCAACAAGAGAAAGGCCGCTTCTTCAGGATCCGACGATGCGACCCCCTCCAGAAAGAAGGTGACTCCCAAGTCACGTGGAAAGAAGAGCCAGACCCCGCTTGAAACGATGGATGACACTTTCCCCGAGGACGCCGAAGAGTTCATTAAGAATGAGGCCAAGTGGGAGGAGGAAGTCTTCTCTTAGAGGACGATCGACATGATTGGATGAAATTGGAGTTGCGACACGCATCGAGCTCAGGTCAGAGCAAACAGGCACGAGTAAGAGTGCACATGGTTCGTAGGAACCCCATAGTGAAAACCTGGCGATCGTCAACTGCATCTCAATGGAACCTTAGGTCGCAGTATGTTGGGTAAGACTCAGTAAAAGAGAGCTCCTTTGTAAACCCAGCTATCGAAAAAAAGATACTTCTCAGTCACATACTCAGGGTCTACTTCAAAGAATTCAACATCCTGTGCTTTCTACTTTGTTAATGCTGAGTATAGGATATACCTTTTGGATGCGATATAGTCGGGGTACAGCTCATATAAACGAGCTTCTTCGTTGCTAGTAACGTTGTTGTGTTTCACGCTATTAGCGGCACGTTCTCGAACATCTTGCATATGGGCGATGGATTTCCGCATAAAGATTTTGAGCCTGCAGCACAGTGAAATCGACGATGCAAGAGGTTTACATCTAGAAACATGCAAACATTCCAGGATACTCCCTCTCTTCGTACATGTATGACTACGTCCACTTGCTGCTCTTTTTCTCTAGGTTTCATTGAGCTTCTTGTCTTTCTTGGTTTCACATTGCCGATGCTGGGCATACATTTGGCTTCGCAGCAGACCTGTAAGGATGATACGCTTTAGCTTACTATAAGCAAAGCGCGCATAATGTACGCAGACATAGCACATTCTGTTTCTCGGCAGTGTCCAGCTGTACCCAGCGCACATATGCCATAGCGAGCTGCGATATCCCTCTCTTGAACGTTGACCGCTTCACTCAATTCTACTGCCGAACATCTTCGTCAAGTCAAGCCAGCTGCACAGTTCATAATCAAATCTCCTTTCAGTGGGGCGCAAATGTCGGGCCGTCTAGAGGCATATCGGCTCCGTGCTAAAACCGTAAGCTCATCACCGGTGTCGCACCGACCACATAGTCTGGCCCCGAAGCTGGCAAAGTTGTCCAGGGACGGTCGCAGATCGCAGTCACGTCGGCGCATATCGATAGGGGGCGATCAGAGCGCTGGTTGAAGTCGCCCTGGCTGGAGATGACGTCGCCCTCCGGCGGTTAAGGTCATGTGCGAAACCGGCGTTCGCATAAGGTGGTGGTGGAGCTGACTTGCCAGGCAGGGAAAGTCAGATGGTATGTGCTGGGGCGGCCGAGGTAACAGGGGGGCCGTTGGCGCCAATGCAGGTACAGGAGCGATGGCGATTGTGCCTCACGCGCCCGCAACATCGTATCCAACGTCGACGACTTCGAACAACAGTCCGTCCCTATCTTTTTGTACTCGAACTCGCCTTATCGTGTTCCTGCAGGTCAGGCGACAGCAGGATGGCAGCGAGGCCCCTGAATTTCCCCGGATTATTGGGTGGCTTCTTCTCTAAGCTCCAAGCAGCTAGCATCGTGGCACGGCGGCCGTTGGTGTGCTCCTCATGCGCCGGGATGCTTTCGTCAGTGAGTGGCCCCAAGGCTAGACGCTCGCTCTGTTCCTAGGCGAGATGCGTCTCGAGGGCTGTGGGTGAGCAGGAAAAGGGGGCTCCTGGCCAAGCGTCTCACTGGGCGAACGGCCGATTGGGCGCATGAGCATTTACTTCATTAGCTTCAGAGCTAACTATACCACATTCGGTCGGCAATTTTGCATCCTCTGCCGTCGCTTTGGCGTCTCGATCCGGTCCAAGTCACCGTTAGGTGTCAGCGTATTCTTTATTATACCGTGTCGCCCTCCGCCGTCTTTTCTTCTTCACTCTCACGTCGCACTATCGCTGTACACAGTCATTCGTTCTCTATCCAACTACATATACCCATACAGCTACTACAGTCCTAATACTCTAATCAATCCAACTACCGTCAACATGCGCTTCTTCGAGACCATTCTTTCCGCCGCGGCCTTCGCTGCCGCTGTCGCTGCCCTTGAGATCAACCAATTCCCTGCTGAGGGCGTTGTTGCTGGCCAGACCTACACCATCACCTACTCCCCTGCGGACGACACCCCAACTACCTTCATCCTCCGCCAGGGAAAGTCCACCGACCTTGACACTATCGGCACTCTCACCAGTATGTCTCAGATCCTGTTAGAATCTGATACCCACAATGCTAACTGAATCGTAGCTACCGCAACCGGTGGAAAGTTTGAGTGGACCCCCGACACTTCCCTCCCCAACGAGGCCGACTACGCTCTCCAGATCCAGCAGGGAACCACCATCAACTACTCCGCTCAGTTCCCTCTCACTGGTGGCTCTGATGAGGAAGACAGCCCTGCCTCCTCGGCTATCTCCTCTGCTTCGTCCGCTGCCTCATCTGCTGCCTCATCCGCCTCTGCTGCCATCAGCAGTGCCGTCGAGAGCGCCAAGTCCAGCATGATCACCAGCGCCGCGACCACCGCATCTGCTTCCGCTTCCATCAGCCCCTCTGCTGGTGTCAACTCCACTGTCTCCACTGCTACCCTCTCTCGCTCCGCCTCCGGCTCTGCCACTGGCAGCGCTAGCCTCCCTGAGGTTACCGACTCTGGTGCCAACCTCATCGGCAGCCCCATCGCTGCCATGTTCGGTGCCGCCGCTGCTTTTGCCTACTTCGCCTAAGCGTTTCACTTCACGACTTCATAGTTTAATTGTCCCTTTACGACATATCAGCATTGAATCTGTGGGAACCCCCTCTATCATCTAGTGTCAATCTAGTCACGCGAGCATCGGCGTCCGTGATCTGATGTGTCGGACGGGAACGCTATGCAAAGAGCTTGTATGGACGTAGCAGAAAATGATAATATGGAAGCATTTGCCTGATTTGTTCTCCCACTGACCAGCATGATTGCAGTATGCTTTCTGTCTCATGATGTGTCGGATGTACTTTTGCTTCTCTGAATTCCCTCGTTTCCATTCGAGGCACACTTGCTACGAAATAGGGCCTATGTTACGTTGCTTTTTTTGAATGCTTCTTATCGACATCCTACCCGCGAGATCATCCTTCTTCTAGCACAGACGTCACGATCAAACATCCGCGTAGTACCACATCCGTCATGCCTGTCAGTACCATGGTACGGAGCTGTCATTGTGCGTCGCATGCGCGCCATGATCCGCACGTCCTTCGCAGCAACCTGATTGTCTGCAGCATTGGGTTCATCGCCCTTTGGCTTGTGCGCAGCATGACGCTTGGATCTCCACCCACCTGAAGAACTTGAAACGCGGAGTTGAGGAACGCATCCGCTTGCTCGCTCGTTGCGCGCTGGAAACCGTGGTTGACTGCCCTGCAGCGACCCCACAGCGGGATCAGTTCCCACCTCTCCATAGACGCATAAGCAAGCTGCAAGAACCCGCTGCTCGTTGCCACACCGTAACTACACCTCCTCAGCTGCTATGTTCGCCGTATCCTGTCTTTCTGAAGGTTGCAGCACTACAGCACTCACGGCGGCACCGTGAACACACAGCCTCAGGGCTTCTCACCGGCGATACTCGCATCGCCACCACTAGACTAGCCAACCGGCATATACCGACTTCTACCACGACTAGGTAGAAATGTTGCGCAAGTCTACACCGGTGTACCAGGCAAGCCACCAACATACCAACCCGAAGGAGCATAGACAGGTAACACTGCTTGCTCGTGTGTTGTGCGTCAAATACTTCACATCACGCGGTCAACAGTCTTCCCTAACCAACAAGCGTCTTGCCATTACTTCCTCGCATTAGCGCCGTTCAGTGGCGCTCAAGCCGAGGCTGCTATGTCCGGTTACTCTTGGAGCTTAGAGAACAATGGATGCACCATACAATATATTGCGCACCTTCAAGGCGCATACGGCTCAAACTGCGTCGAAGAGTATTTTTAGGTGGCACTAAGAAAGGAAGGCCAAACAAGGATGTGGAAGGGTGGTAAAACGGTGGCGAGCTGGGGAATATGGAGCGCAGCTGAACCCAAGCCTCAAGCAGTGCGCGGTGAGTCTTCGCACTAATCGTCCTAGCATCGAATCTCTCTTGTTTAGCCCGCCACCACCCGTAGAGTCCGTAGCCCAACGTTGGGCGCCATCATGCAGTATGCCTCTTGTCCGCCTGGTCACTCTCTTCGCTTCCGCTAGCCGGCTTTATTGTACTCGCTGGTATTTCGGTATTATGACCAGGCTCTTGACATAATCATCGTTGTTAACATTTGCATTTACATAACATGTTTACCCAGATTTACTAAGGTCGTATGGTCGTCGCTGTAACAACCATGGTGATGGTTGCCAAGTCGAGTCGAAAGCTTTGTGCTCTTCATTAATACGCTATGTATTGCCTCTGCACTTTCCATGCACTGCATCATATCTAGATCTATATACAAACTGGTTCAACAGCACGCTACCTAATATTATATGCGATATGGTAGGATCAATACTGTCAGTCATTCATGCTTATGCCTGGTCAACTCGTAGCGGACACTCTTGATGCAATGACATAGCGTCTGAGAATCACATTCCAGTCAACCTCTGGAAGATGCTGCTCTTCAAGATATAATCAAATTTGCCAAACACCAAGGATACTCAATTTCATTCCCATGGCTCTTCCCAACTCCGAACACAAGTCGATGCCGCTTCATTGTTCCAACTGAAAAGCCACAATCAGATCATCAGTACTACTATCCTTTCCAGATACCCTAGTTGTCTGATCGGTTGTCACCTCCCTACGTCCTCTTTTCGCTCTCATCCCTCTACACAAACATCACCCCCGCAGCCCCAGCAATCGCGCCTGCAAGACCCATCTTCTTGAACCCTCTCACCGGCACCGCAGCGCCAGTAGCCTCTGCAGCCGCTGTCCCACTACTCGTTGCCCTCTGTGTACTTTCCGCACTGCTCGTTCCTGTCACACTCTGCGTACTAGCGTTTGTAACAAAGCTGGCACTCCTCGATGCGACAACACTCTGTATTCCACTAATTACTGTAACATCAGATGTTACTACGTTGGAAGGTATCGGTGATGACGTATCGACTGCCAGACTCGGCGCTGCGGCATCTGATGTTGGGAGCGAGCTTGATGGGGTAATTACAGCGCTGTTGTCAACACTAAAAGCGTCACCCCATGTTGGTGTTGGGGAGGCAGAGGGAAGCAGGTTGTCTGTTGAAGTTGTTGCTGCGGGTTCTACAGTGAACGGATCGCCCCAAGATGACGTTTGTGCGGAGGAAACACCCAGGAGCGAAAGGAGAGTTGTTTTTCGGAGGGAGGACTTGCGCATATTGAATGGTGCTATTGAGTACGTCTGTTCCGTAGGTCTTCGGTTTCGTAGTGCTTATTTCTCGCGATAATTATGACTCCGACACAACACTTGATCTTTCTGTTGCACTCTTCGAGAATGTCGAACAATGAATGACGAAGTTTCAAGCTTTTGGCGATGGCTTCTTTTTACTTGGATGTCGGAGACCCTGGACCCGCATCAATTCACCGGATCATCACTATCAACCTACAAAATTGCCTTATTGGGCATATAGTGTTCACAAGTCTGACGTACAGTTCCAGCGCAAACAGCGATGCGTATCGCGTCGACGTGGTGAAATAACTTGTCTCTCGTTCTGTGATTGGCTCAGAAGCTCTGTGGACGACATGTGATTGGATAGAGTCACTTAGTGTTGTTTCGTTTCGGGTCTCCGCAATGCTGCCGCACGCGAAGTGACTGCCGGACCCCGAGGTTTGCAAAGCCGAAAAGACGCGCAATTTTCTGTATGCACCAATGACTATTATAAGAATGATCATGTTGGTGCGAGGCTGATGGCTCGCTGTGGCTTGCTGTGGCGGCCATCAGTGAATGGCATACTACTTGTCCTAGGACCTTTTGACGATGCATGTGAGTGGACCACCGACAGCTCACTGACGAGAAACTCAATCTCCGTTTATGTAACATCTATATGAAAGACTGGAAACTACCATTTAACCAAATCCTGTACTTGTATAGGCAAGCCAGATTCCATGGACTTATTTGCACCAACGCCGACAAGAACAGCATTTCCGCCATCACGAATATACGCAGCTCTCTTAAAGCTGTCCTCGCCCTCGCTTCCTACGATGACATCCTTTAGTAGCAGAGGGTCTCCCCCGCCATGGCCGCCTTCACCTTTGACGACATCCACCACGTACGGTTTTCCCCACAAGGGATAGACAACAATATTCGTCTTCTCCACACCACCTTGTATGTAGTTGGCTTCGAGTTCACCAAGCCCTTCGTTGGTGACGATCTCGCCACCAGCTGAGTATCCGCCCTCGACGACATTAATCTCAATACGGCCCTTGCTGCCGTTGAAGACGCAACGATAACCCTCCCATGGAGCGTAAGCATACGTGTTGTACGTCATGACAGCTTTGTTTTTGTACTTGATTACCATAGAGAGATTGTCTTCAATGGTGATACCTTCAGCGAAGCAGTTACGGTCGCGAATGTAGCCATCCTCGTGCTCAGCCTCCAAATAAAGCTTCTTTAGTTGGGCATTTTGATCAATGTGAATGGCAAACGGGTCGTCTTTGGCAGCCTCGTTGTTGAGATAGCGCTCGCCGAGGTTCTTCTCTCCACGTCGTTCCGCATTCTCTTTACCGTAGAATCGCAGGCTGCCAACGCAGTAGACATTCTCCGGTTCGGTATTCAGCCAGTAATGTACCAAATCAAAGTGATGGATCGACTTATGCATCTGAATGCCACCACTTGTGTCCTTGTTCCGATGCCATCGGCGCATGAAATCGGATCCATGTGCGCAGTCCAGGATCCAGTCCATATGCACGGTCGAAACCTCGCCGATGACGTCTGAGTCGATAAGTTCGCGCATCTTGGTGTGATGAGGCGCATATCGATAATTGAAGAGGACACGAACTTGCTTGCCCGTCCTCTTCTCGGCATCGATCATAGCTTGGAGCTTCTCTTCATCGATAGTCATTGGCTTCTCAGTAATTGCGTCGCAGCCCAGTTCCATGGCACGGATGCAGTATACATGATGGAATTTGTCGATGGTGGTAACGATGACGACGTCAGCCTTTTGCTCCTTGACCATCTTGTCGAAGTCTTCTGCCTTGTACATTGAGACACGCTCGCCGCCCAGCTCGACCATTCGATCGTTGGCAGCTTTCATACGCGTCTGGTTCGTGTCGCATATGCCCACTACTGCAGCGACCGATTTAAAATCTTGGATGATGCTTTGGTAGTAAAATGCTGATCTGACGCCCATGCCTACAATGACATAGCGCTTGACTTGGGACGAAGCCATTTTTCCTTTGAAAACTAGGCACGTAACTTGATGGTAAAAGGTACAAGAAATTGGAGTGGTTGACTGATGTCGATGAAACGGACCATGGAACTGCTTTTATACTACATCTTACTGTGTGTCTACATTGATGAAGAGAAGACCACACCCATGTACCGCGACCAGTGAAGCATCAAATCAGAGGTTGTCGTGGCAAAACAATTGCTCGTGTTAACGATCGTGTCTCTCATTGTGGGTGTTCAGGTGGAGTAGCGGGACTGCGAGAGTGTACGAGATTAAGCCTGCCGACCCAGAAGGAGATTAGTGGTCATTATCCCCGCACTTCACTCCAATAGCGAGAGTGGAGAGGCGGAGACATCCTAATCAGGGTCGGCAGGAGGCACGTCAACCAAGACACGGCCAACAACGCTCCTACATGTGTCGCGCGAAGAGATGGTGGGTCGTCTTCTAGTGCGGGGTAGATGGTAGTTTCTCCTTTCGGGACGGGTACGACGACAACTCACCTCCTTCACATCTTGCCTAATGTGGGTTGCGCCCGCGTCTTGCATGCTTCGAAGTAGCTTCAAACCGGGGATGCTGCTCAAACATGGAGATCATATGGCAGTCGGGCGAAAAGGTTCCGAAGAAACGGACGACTGCAGCATGCCTAACTTGTCGTGCACGCAAGAAACGGTGCTACCACCTTGAGGATCGCGGAATCAGGAGGAAGGAGCATAATCACAGAGCCGAAAAACAAGTTCAAAGGCCTTGTCAAGGAACCGATACCAGCGAATCTACCCCAAGCCCCGGTCGCGTGAGCGAGTATAACCCTGAATCCGTTCTTACAGCTCTGTCAGAGGACGCCGAACCAGGGATAAACACTTTAGCACAGACACCTCATCTGGTAGCATCACGGCCTACTCCACAAGCTATAGTGCCTAGTCCATCTGTCGCATGCGAACCACGGCGCAGACTGGCATGGTACAAGCAACACAAAATTCGCGCCGCGCCGCCACACTTATCTGAATCATATCGAAAGTATCTCCAAGAAGAAGGAGCATTCACTGCACTGCCCAAAACAACTACGGATGCTCTCTTGTCTTTGTATAATTCGACATTAGACGATCTCGTGCCTATTGCGGATGGCCCTGCTGTATTCCGCCATCACAGCAACGGAAACGCATCTATATATTTGGTGAGGGCAATATGTCTCGTGGTATGCAAAACAGAGCACGCTGCCCCTTTCTTGCGCCTGACTGAGTCCGGTCCCCTGCTAGAACCTTTGAGTTTTGCTTCAAAACTACTGGCCGGACTAGATGCTGCTATCAAAGCAGATCTTGAGCCCGACCGCATTATCAAGGTTCAGATTCTGGCACTGATGCACTTATACAACGATGGACTAGCCGGCGTTGACCGCGCCTCAAATTATCTTTCCCAGGCCATCTGCGAAGCGTGGTCCATGTGTATACATCTAAAAATACCTGGCAATCCTGACGATAACGAGTGCAAGTATCTGTGGTGGTCACTTCGAAACTTTGATCGTTTGGGTAAACCAATCATGGCAGCCGCACCATTCTTTATCGATGATGCAGATATTGGCGTGGAACGGATATCGCCCAGCAAGGATAGCTATCGCTCTCAAATCATGACTGTGGCCCTAAGGCTCGGAGACCTAATGACTATCGCAACAAAAGCATACAAAGCCAGCTCCACGACGATGGTTGATGGTTGCTGGGAATTTCCGACACTCCCAGAAGTTATGGGCGGAAGTAGTTTCGATGAGTTCCACATGTTACATCAAGGTAAGACGTTCCCCAAACTCAATCCTTCAATTCGCTTAAGGGAATAGCATACTTGGAGACATGGTATCATGTTGCCGCCATGTTATCTTGTCGCTACAATGGACCAGGCACTGTACAATACACCCGCCGTCTCAAGTCAGCGGACCGAGTACTTGCAATCGTCTCTCGCGAAGGGTGTGAAGGCCTCCCTCCACTTCCACTAGTACCTTACGCGATGTCCATGTCTACTACGGTCATCTACCGTGCATTACATGATGGCGCAAGAGACATGATTGCAGCACGAGAAGACCTTCAAAGATGTTGCAATGCGCTAGATGGTCTCAGCCAACGATGGACCAGCGTGAGGGGTGTAGCTAAGCTTGCAAAGCGACTTCACAGACTGATAAGCGATGGAACATTGAAGGGCTTACAAGTTGCACAGCGACCAATATTTGGTACCACCACAGTCTCAAAGTTACCCACATCGGTCAACATGAGTGCCATTACGGACCAAGTAGGCGACTTGTATAGCGATGAATCTTTACAAAGGCAGCTCAGTGAGATATGGCCAAGCTTTGACGCATCCTACTCTCAAATGGACTGGGCTTTCCACGACTATGGTTTTGATATGGAGTTCCCTAGTCCCTTCGATGATCTTCCAGTTTGAGGTTTTGGAAAGAGGGTGAGAATCACTACAGGCTACGACTCAAGAATGCATAAACAGGTAGACAGGAGATTAGGGGTGGAACATTCATCCATACTCTTTCTAAAAACTACTTGATTGGGAAGGAGCTTCATAGTAAAAGAGTTGTAACTGCGCACAATATCTTTGTAATCTGTAAACGCCACGAAGCTCCTCAGAGCCGGATAGATGAGCTGATTAGCAGGACATGCAGGCATATCGTCTTTCGTGCTACTAGACCATAGACATACCAAGGGATTCATCTCTACCCTCACGTTATGCTCTTCAGTGTCGCTCACTAAGCGCTCAGAATTACTATCACTTTTTACTTCTCTTGTTCCTACCTCGGTTGGTAATGACAAACGAACTCCATGCTTCTTTCCCGTCGTGAAAATGGGCTCAGGGATAAACGGGAGTAACAAACATCGAGTGTGCCTTCTCCTAGAATACATATACGTTCACAAGCTCTCGAGCTACAGAATTTGCATAGTTGATAACACCCTGTGGACCACGCTTCGCCGGCACCGACAGTGAGATCCACTCCACAAACCAAGGTGCTACACAATAATATCTTATAAGAGACATGTAAGTAGCGACAACTCCCTCCTTCCACGGAAGGTTTTACGAAAGACGAGACCTTTAGAATTAATCGTTTAGGTACACTCATATCGCGATCGAAGTATTTCGAGCACTCCCCAGATACCCCACATGGCGCTATCCGTGGACCCTCAGTAACTAGCGTATCTCTCTCCATTACCTCACGAACGCAACGACCCACTTCAGACCATAGGTATTGGTATTGGTATCGGTATCGGTTATGCAGCGTCGGCATACCCCCCCTCCAGTCAACACTGCCCGTCGCCTGGTGTTTCACAAGTGGTAGGAGTATGGTCTGTTCGGTAAGGTTTGTCAAAGCCATTGACGTAGTACAAGTCTGACTTCAAGTTCATACAAGATTTCATGACTTCATTTCTTATATAGTACAGCATACTCAAATGGCTTGACCAACCGGTCTGTTACCCGGAAACTCGCCATTCTGACCACTCCAATTCGACTGTCCGTTCCCTACGCTCAGCGGCCTGTACGCAACATAATCTTGTTGCTGAGTCTGCCCTTGTGCCTGTGCATTACTTCCTATGTTCCCCAAGTTCAACCCGTCTCTCTTTCCTGCATCGAGTTCGCTAGGTGGCGGCATTTCCCTACCATCTATTTCCCAGACATTTGCGTTTGTAGGCATCTCGTTACTTTCCGGTATCTTCGAATCGATGTATTGGTGGCGCTGTGGTGGCTTTTCGTCGGAGTATCTAGGCGCTGGGGTGGAGCTGTGTAGTGCATGCCCTGCGGCTCCCGTTGCTGTCGCGCCTCCGAAAGTTGATGTTGACGCCCATGGTGCTTGGCCTCTTGGTGTTACAGGCGAAACTGGAGACATCATTGTCGTCGGCTGTGTCGAGGACAAATCGGTTTGCGTAGGGAGTGTGGTTGTGGTAGGGTACGCATTCTGTTGTGGGACACGGGCATATGCACCCTGTGTTGGTGGGGAATGATCGGACGACGAAGACGCTGCTGCAATGGCCTCCTTGTCGTTCATGGCTGCCGTTCTGGACTTCCTCTTTCTGTGACGCAGGAGAAGGAGGATAAAGATGCCAATCAAGGCTAGAGCTGCGACTCCTCCTACCACTACACCAGCTATGAGACCTGTTGATGGTCCAGAGCTTGAATTTGAAGATGATGATGCCGCTGCGGCAGAGCTCGATGAAGTTGATCCATGTGATGCGGTGCTTGAGGCCTCGTTTCTGGTTGATGATGCTCCTGTCGACGTTTGTGCAATACTGCTGGCTGTGCTGCTTGCGTCCTCTGTTGCGCTTGTCGCGGTAATCTCAGCAGCAATGCTCGTCGGATTTGCTGGTGTGGGTAAAGCATTCACCACACTACCCGCTACACTCTCTATGATAGCCGTGGGGACCGCAACGCCGTTGCTCGACAACACTGAAGAAACATCGCCAACAATACTGGATAAGAGATCGCCGATCTGTCTCCGTTGAAGCTGATGGTTTCGTTGTACTTTCTCCGCGCCAATGCTACCGGCTGCGAGACAATAGGCGTTCATGTAATTTTCAGTGATTGGCCGATCTGGATGGGATACCGGATTGAATGCATGGTTGTCAAAGCATGAGACGCGCCATAGGTACTGTTCGCAAAGGCATGTATAGTCTGGGACGGGCGTGGTATTGCAAGGAAAGTAGCCCTTAACCGCCGAAATGCAGGAAGTTATCGCACTAGATTGGCGGACGTCAGTATGTCTTCCACACCCACAACTTAATCGCAACAGGAATAATATAATTACATCTGCTCATGGTTCCCACCCTCGCCAGTGGGAACAATGGGCCATCGCAACGCCGGCACAAGTTTGAGCAAGACACCAAGCATTGTCGCCTCATTGAGAAGGTTGTTGACGGAAGAACGGACCCGCTTGAAGAGACAGCACCATCAACGCTTTAACATACTAGCCAGATCCTAATTCTAACAGGCTTCTGAAGTGGCGGCGACAAGACCTTCTATTCGCTAATGCTGTAGCGGCAGAAGCGGGGACGACCGATTCATCTATGTAATGTTCTGTTCCGAGCACCCGTCTCGCGATAGGAAACCTGCTGAATTCGATGATGTAGGTGTGGAGGTGCGGCTTGCTGTGGCGGTGCAAGTCAGGGGTTCCGTGAGGTTTAATTGGTGGGGGCTAGAAGTGTTCCCTGATCCAGATTTTAGCCTTGTGCGCTAACGGGCCGCCCTAATGACATCGCAACGTGGAGACGATAGCTTGGGTCAAGATCACCGTTTGTGAGACAAAAAACGCGACGTGCTAGGACAATTGATGTGCGCAATGGTATTACACGAGCTGCTGCACCGCCACACCTGGAGCGTTCTGCACGCTCTGTGCAGCAATCAAACTTGTGATACGTGGGGGTATGGTAGAAAGTAAACTGCCGACTCCAGAACAATGCTCCGCTGAAAGAAATGGGTATTGAAGCACAGCCACAACCGTTGTCTAGGCCTTGGGAGCGAGTTTCGAGACATTTGATAGGACCTCACTTCCCGTTGACACCATCTCCGTGGCCTTCCAACCTGGTTACCAACCTCTTAACGCCACTCCACTCCTCACTACGTGTTTGCACACCTCCAAGGTCATCGCCCACCTCAAACACAGTGACGACGCCATCCATGCCACCCACTGCAACCCTGCGTCCCTCGTTCCTCTCCCATGCCAACTTGTTGAGACTACGGTTCATGTAGCCAAGACCAGTCGGCATGTTTGTAAACGCACCACGCTTGCCATCACTAGGCTTTACAGATTGAACAGGCACCTCGACATCGACGTTGATATCCCAAACTTCGAGGCTTCCCGCTCCATCAACGAGCGCAAAGACCGAAGGCTTCACCGGCGACCATCGGACGTCGTAGACGAGATCTTCGCGGGCAATATCAAGAACAGGGGTGACTTGTTGTGTAGCACCAGGAAGTGTAGGGTTGGTTGCACCTGTGGCAGCCGGCGGACGCACTTTCCAGAGTTTGACACTCCAATCAACACTGGATGAGAGGACAAGGTCGCCTAGATCAATCTGACCCTTAGCGGGATGGAAGTCGAGGCTCATGACAGGTGCGGCATGGCCAGCGTATTTCACACGACCATCTACGCCTGCCTTTGCGCCAGCGCGGTCGTAGCGATGACATGGGTAGATGGTACCCTCTTCTGTGCCTGCAAGGAAATAGGTCGGATCCGATTGAGGGAAGGCAATACTGGTTACCGCCATATCATCTGTCTTGGCTGGTGGTGGCGATGTCAATTCCAGGAACTCTTGAGGCTGTGACAGCATATCCACAGTCCATCCGCATACAACACCGTCCGTCGAACATGAGATGATGTTGTTCGCGTTCTGCGTTCCGACAATGTCTAATGAATAGACCGGGTGTGTGTGACCAGAACCAGTAAGTGGTGTCTTCTGCACTGGCGCAGACTTGGCGCGAGTGTCCCAAAGCAGCACTTGCCCTGAGTACGCGCCTCCGATGATAAGATTAGGGTGGAACGGCGAGAACTTGGCGGTGAGAATATCAGATTGAGCGTGGAAGATGTACTCGGGTCTGTCGTGCATGTGCATATTCCAAACTTGTACGAGCCCGTCTGGGTCGTGCGGAGCGGACGGGTTCTTTGTATACGACGCAAGGACGAGTTCTGGAAACTGCAGAGTTTGTCAGTGTTATAACCGCGAGACGTTGCCTCAGTTCATACCTTTGTTGAGAAGCCCAGATCCGAGATCATCCTCTTCTTGCTCCACCGTTCATCCCAGAATTGTGCAATCTCCTTGATCCGTCGGCCCTTCTTGCCCCCACTGGAGCCATAACCCTCATCGTCGTCGTCGACATCTACGCCGCCAATTGCATAGTCTGCCAAGATGTCGTAGCCAAGTTGTTGGTCGAGCGCTCGTTCCAACACCTTGGTACTGCGCTCCACAAAGCCAATGAAGTCTTCTGAGTTCTCTACAGCCGTTAATTCTTCGTTTGTGAGTGTCTTGAACGGGAAGTTCTCGTCTGAGCCTGGCTGCGGTGCACCATCGTCAGGCGCTTGCTGGACGGCCTTGAGCTCCTCTTCGATTTCTTTCCGCAGTTGCGCTCTAATCTCTTCGTCTCTCTCTTTCTGTCTCCGGCTTAGTCGCTTGCTCTTTGGTGACCGCGTCGGGCTCTCATCGCGCTCTGTGTCACTTCCTCCAACCCCGCGGTCTTTTGATGGGCTCCACTCTATGCTTGCTTGTACACCCTTGCTATATGTGATAATCTCCTTCTCCTTCTTGACCTCGTTGGTGACAATGCCGTCAGTCTCGTAGACTGTGGCTAGCGGGCCAAGGGACAGCGTCTGCATTTCTCGGTCCACCATGCCGGCAGGCGCTTGGAAGCCAGACGAGCCTTCATTGTCGCTGCTCAGTTGTCCTGCGCTGACTACCGATGTTGGGCGAGTTGCTCGGCCTGCGCCTGCTGGTGAGCCAGGCTGTGTAGAGCCAGGTCTACTTTCGCCGAGGATGCTGTTGATGAGGTTGGTGACGTCGGTCCTGCGGTCGAGGTCTTCGCTGCGTCTTGGAGTTGGTGAAAGGACCTGGTATGGCCGTCAGTCACTGGTGAGACACTTGAGTAGGCAACCTACTTCTCCTAGCGGGCTACCGGTCATCGACTGCCTGCTAGCAGACTCGGCCTTTCTCAGTTCGCGCTGGCGCTTCAACTCGGCCAGCTTGGCCTTCTTTGCGAGAATCTCATCACGCCGTTGCTGCATTGTCGACTCCATGGCGGAGATGTGGAGGGCGGGATGGTTGTTGGACTGTGTGTCTTGGTGTGTGGTAGAAGGCGTGAGCTGGAATCCGTGGCTAGACAAGTGAAGCCTCCCCGTCTCGACTATGCCCAGAGCAGGGCAAGAGCAGTAGGAACAAAGGTAGGCGCGTCGGGTGTTGCTCAACGTCGCGCCAAGCTGTGGTTCAGGGACGAGGGCACTAGCTCGCAGCCAGCGATCCTGTCCAAATCTTGCGCCAGCCAACCTCAACTTTCACAGCTCAACGCCCAACAGCCCGCATCCCCC